AGGCTCAAGCGAATCTGCTGGGTTCTCCAGCGACAAGGCGCCTTGTTGCTTCCTCGCTCAGCAGCAATTTGCTCCTGGGCGGCCATGGCAATGACAATCTGGAATCTGAAAGGGGCATGAAAGGGACAAGCTGGCAAGCTGGGAACTTAACATGCCGAGGGGCACACGTGAAGATCAGACTGTGCAGGTGGAGAGCGGACTTCGCCAAGGGTGTCTTCAAGCTCTCGAATCGGTGCTTGGCAGCCGAGAGGCTTCTGCACTGCCAGCCACCGGTGTCTGCCCGCACGAGCTGAGAAAATCTCGCCTGGAAGCGGGAAACACCAAACGCCACCGAGATAACAATGGACAGGGTTGCAGTGACGAGTCGATGCGCAATTCAATCAATGTTGCCCGTCCGGCAAGTCAGCAAAATGATGAGACCAACTCAATGCCAAGCTCTTTTTTGGAGCTTCACTGTCGAGCTGGCTTCACTGCCGAAACGGCACCAAGAGCAACAGAAGCTGGCGCTCACACGCCGCAACAGCACCCGCAATGGCAAGAAACTGCCTTAGAGCGGCTTGGACCCGGCCCAAATCGGCACGGGACTGGCCGCGCATCTCGGTCACTATTGGAACCGAGCGCGGCATTTCGCGCAAGCGTGTGCGGAGATCACTGCACGTCGCGCACACGAGATCCACCGCAAGAGCCTGCCTCTGCTGTTCCAGCATGGGCAGCTCGGCGAACCCGCCGAGCCAGGCCCGGAAGCGGGCCGCCCTCAAGACCTCCTCAGAGGTGGCCATGTGGCTGGCGCCGTAGAGCGTGTCATCCGTGTGGGCCTCCGCCTCATCCTCGGCGGTCACGCCAGGCAGCGGAGGCGGCAGAGCCTTAGCGGACTGAACCGAAGAAAGCGTCAGGACAACTTGATAGGCGGCAGCCGAGTTGCTGGCTGCAAGATCCTGCTGCCTGTTGCACGGCGTCTCCTTGGGTGCCAGGACTGCGATCGCGATCGCGATCTTTCCTCGGCTAGGGCGCAGTGCGAGAAGCACCACAAAGCAATTTGACACATACCACCTGCCACCTAGTTGCTGGCCGCGGCCGTCTGCTACGTGAGGACCGTGACTGCGATCGCAATCTGTCCTGAGAGTGCAGTGAGGCATGACTTGCCAAGCGCCCATCTCAAGGGGCAGTGCTGATGTTGACAGTGAGTGTGACAATAAGATTTGGCGTGATAGACTTGGCAACGATAATTGGCAGGTAGCCTAGTGGCTGGCCGCGAGCGTCCGCTGCTTGCTGGCGGTGAGCGTAGTCTTCTTGAGCGCCGTGACCGTGATCGCGATCGCGATCTTGCCTTGGCTCGAGGGCGCAGTGCGAGAAGCGCCACGAAGCAACTTGACACACGCCACCTAGTTGCTGGCCGCAACCGTCTGCTGCTGTGGGAGCGTGACCGCGATCGCGATCTGTCCTGAGAGCGCAGTGAAGCATGAATTGCCGAGCACCCGTGTCAAGGAGCAGTGTGATGACGTTGACGGCAAGCGTGAGGTGGGTTCATTTGCAAAACAAGAGGTGGCGCCATAGCCTCGGGGACGATACTAATAGGCAGGCAGGTTGGTGGCAAGAAAAGACTTGTGATAAGCGTCGGGGACGACACAGCCGCTGTCTCATACTACACTTACCAGTGCCTGGGATGTACGCAACGATGGGCACATTGAACTTGACAAGTTGCAAAAAGCTTGCTGGAATTCCATTGAGACCAAGGCGCTGCTGAGTCAGACCGCCCAGGCCAAGGCAGCGACAGCACCATAGCAGTCACGGAGTCAGTTCGAGTGTGGCAGCAAGGGCACCATAGCAGCCGCGGAGTCAGTTCGTGTATAGGGGGGTTCAGTCCGACTGAGCAGCTCGGGCCGAGCTGCGGCATGTAAAAGCGCAGCTCCACGCAAACAAGCCCTGCGCAATTTCAACGAATCCGGGTCAGCCTTGAAGATCTCCGAGTGCTCGATGAGCTGACAGGGGCTGCGCGTGCCCTGCACGAAGCTCAAGAGCCTTGGGTAGGAGACGCGTGCCTTTGATGATACACATTTTCTACGAACTCGGTCCCTGACACCTCTTTGTGGAAAGGATCCGCGAAGGACGCGCGGGACCCAATCCTCGGAGAAGCAGCAGGAACACGAAGCTGATGAGCAATGATGAATCAAGCTTTGGTCCTGCGAACCGCGTGCGCCAGGTCCTGGACAACAACGCGGACGTTCGGAAAGAAGCCCCTTGCCAAGACTTTTGCCTGCCAAAGCGGCCTTGGCCAGTCGGGGCTGGCAGGTGACACTCTGTCGATGTGACATCGACGCGATGCAGGCAAGGTGCCAGAGCAAGCTGCTCGTCTCTGGCCGCGTCGGCCGTCAAGGCCTCCACCTTTCGGCAAAGGATCGGGATGAACTTGCCGAAGCTGGTCCTTAATCGGTGACAATGTTGCGGAGGCAATGACTGACAATGTGTCACCTCGCCATAAATCAGGCCAAGTGGCCGCAGTGCGTCGGAGTATGGCATCTTCGTGGATGGGCTGCAGAACTCACGAATGACATTCTCCATGCACTCTTTCACCTTGAGCGCGTGGCACTGCCGGAGATCAGCCAGATTGGCAACTCCAATGATGCCAAAGCGGCCTCAGCGAGGTCAAATGCAAAGCGGGTCATCCCTAATTAGCAAGCTGAGATGCTCTCCAGCTGGCTGCTCGCGGATCCGTAGCGAACACACAGCCATCCCTTGGAAACGTCTTGGATCAAGCTCACAGAGATGGCCTTGGACCTCAGTTGTAGCGATTTGCAGCTACTCCGCAGGCACAAAAAACAGCCAAGCTGCAATATCTGGATTGTCAGTTTGCGCGCGGCCTCTCCAAGGCACGCCTTCATGTTCCGCATCTTCTTGCGGCCCTTGGCGCTTGCTTTAACCAAGCCCCTTGTACGCACAGAGATCTCTCAAAGACAAGCGGCCCAGTGACCTTTTTCGACTCCCTGATCGCCACGCTCCATCTTGGCCAAGAGCTTCCGGAATGCCAGACAGGATGGCACCTGAGTGACACTGAGCCTCCACTTTCACGAGCTTACGACCGTTACAACAAATTCCTCCGCATCCTAGAGGCTTCGACTCCAAATTCCCATCGGCCCTTTTGGACAGTAAGCGAAACAGACTTGCGAGCTGCTCTGGCGGGATACTGGCGGGATCCACTGGCAAATGCTCGACACTGGCCGGAGCTCGGCAGGATCCACAGGCAAGGGATACTCAGCGGGATTCATTGGCGAGCTCCACTGGCGGGCTGCTCTGGTGAAATACTCGGCGGGATCCACTGGCGAGCCGCTCTGGCGGGATACTCGGCGGGATCCACTGGCGAGCCGCTCTGGCGGGATACTTGGCGGGATCCACTGGCGAGCTCTGGCGGGATACTGGGCGGGAGGCGAGCAGGTCTGGCGGGATACTCGGCGGGATCCACTGGCGAGCTGCTCTGGCGGGATACTGGGCGGGGCCGTGGTGTGGCAAACGCGGATTCCAACATAAAATCTAACAACCCCTTCCTGTCACATGGGGAAAAAGAAATCAGGCAACTAAGTCGCTGATCGGACTGAGGGGTGCACGACTCTCCCGCCGGCTAACACTTCGAGGCATTCGTTCTGACTGTCAGCTGCCAAGCGGTGTGCCTTGGAGCTTTCGTGCTGCTCCATGCACTGGCGGCGCACCTCTACCTTGGCTGGGCAGCGGCGCTGAGGAATCCAAATGTGTTCATGCAGGCAAGGGTCCAGCCGGCAAGCCCGGAAGCGGGACCAAACAGTCTTGGACCCTGCTTTGGCGCAAATCTGACATCCGAGGCCGGTATTGCCCAGCTGAAGCCAAGGAAAGTCTTGGCTCCAATCATGCCAGTGCTTGGTAATGCGTTTGCGCCACTCCTCAGCGAGTTGGTCGCTGTGACCGAGGTAAAAAGAAATTGTTGGAAAACGTCTTTTGCAACCAAGTCTCTGCAAAACGTATGCTGTTCAGCAAGAGAGGCATGGCTCGAGCGTCCGAAAGTCGACATCTCACCCTTTTGCGAGGGTTGAAAAAGGGGTCAGGGTTGCCTTCAGAAAAAAGGTCAAGGGTTGCCTTGAAAGGGGTGAAGGGTTGTGTTTGCAAAGCTGATGGGCAACGATTTGGTTCATTCAACAGGTCTCTGAAATTTATACATGTCATTGCCTGTCGCATCAAAATGACGTGCTCAGTCAAACATGAAGTGTTTGAAACACAAACTCTGCCTACACCCCATGTTCGAGCCCAGCTGAATCCAGCCGACGCCAGTGGGAAAGCGCGCGCGGCTAAATTTATTCGGATGTCTAAATTTCCCTGGACGAGGCTTCTTGCAACCGCAGACAACCAACAACCAACAACCATCAAACCGCAACATCCACTTGTCTTCCCCAGGTGCCCGGGCCACCAAGCAGGCAGCCCGGCAGCCGCAGCAGTGGGGGTGGCAGCCGAAGCAGCCGCCCGCAGCTGCTGTCTCTGTTGCTAGATCAGGGCCCTGTTAAACTTGGATCCCCAGCCAAAACATAAGTCCGTTGAACGACGAATATTGTTTCTCTCTCCCCCATCAAAAGTAAAGAGCCGCTGTTTGAAGACTACTGAGCTATTTTTGTTTAAAAAAAGTGAAATTACCCTCGACTTTTTCGACTATGTTAAGACCACCCCAGTAGTGGTAAATATATAAAGTTTAAACTTTTTCTGGGCCATCCACTCAGCAAGTGAGATTCTCACAGTGAGATAAACAGGGGCCGCCTTCAAAGTTAAGAAGTTTGCATTTTTTTGTGAGAAATAGGGGGCGCCCTCAAAATTATTGGTTTCTTGGTTTCCCTCGTACACCAACCCAAGAAAGGCCGCCCTGGAAAAAAGTGTTTTCTCTGCCTATTCTTGACCCACTGCCAAATAGAGGGGCCCTCAAAATTGGGGACGCCGATTTTTCCCATGGAAATCCACTAGGCTGCGTGTTTCCCTTTTTTAACCCAACCCGGGAGAAAAACAAAGGAGAACAAAAATGAGAAGAATAAAACATGGAGAAAAAACAAACGGAACGCGGCTTTAAGGCCATCGCCTGCGGCGCCACGCTGGGCGCCTGTGAGGTCAGCTCCCAGCGCCTCGGGTTTCGCCATACTGGGACGCAGCGGTGGGGTTTCTTTGGGCGCAGAAACAAAATCTACCGCGGCCAACAAACACCACCACCTCAGATGTTTTGTCTCTTTGGTTTGACCTTTGGGTTCGTCAGGATTTACTTTGGGTTCCTAGGAAGACTAGGCCCCCCAGCTAGGTGCCCTTCTCTACCATGTTTTTTTTGGGGGGGTTTTGCGTTTCCCTAGTAACATAGACGACAGGAAAAAAACGCGTACCCTTATTCTAACCTCTCGACTGGAGGACCTAGCAGAAAACATGAACTGGTTTCACAACAAAAGTTACACTCGCCCGCGGGAAACAGCTGGCGTTTTTACAAATTCACACTTGAGATACCAGGCGCTTGGCAGCAAGCAGGTCAAAGGGAAAAACAACGGGTTTTACACACAACAAATAATAACGCACATTCGTTCCCAAGAGAAGCAGCTGGTTTTTACAAAGTATCACTGGTTGAGATACCAGACACTTGGCGGTAGGGAAACCCGGGTTGAGAGTTGTGAATGGGAATCATGCTTTGGAAGCTAAGCGGCTAAGCATGCAAGCAGTACCCAACAGCCGGAAGCTTTGGAACCCTTTCTGAAAGCTGCACCGAACCACAGAGCTTTTATTCAGCAGTGACCCCCAAGCTTCCAGCCGGAGGAAACACAAGGAATCCGTGGGAAGGTTGGAAACGTGGAAACGAATGAAAACCGATTCGCATTGGATACTTTGGTAAATGATTCTACTTTATTTGATGTGGATTGTGCTAAGGCCCTATGAAAGCCATGTTGGTAGAACCACAGACATGGCAGCTGTTTTATGAGAGTTACCACCTGAGCCACGGTGAAACTTCACTGTTACCCTGCTGCCTTGGACAATTTAGGGCTCGTCCTGGTTTGTGGGGGAATTAATTTGTGAGTCCTTGGATGTTTAAAACCACTTAAGGTTCCAAGCATGGTTGCAATTGGAAGCAAACGCACCAAAGGAAAACCACCCATCTTGGCCTTGCTTCGTCAAAGCAGTCTAAATGAAAACATGTCCACTTCTCTGGTTGAACAATTCGGCCAAGGCATCGAAAGGAGGGTTGACAACCTGACATATACCACGGCATCTCCGAATCCAGAAGTGCGGGCCATGGTTTCACGGAGAATCCGTATGCCTGCGTATCCAATGGAAGGATCCAGGATTTCCACACTTGTTTTTCCACCATGGCAGAAATGGCATTTGGACAACACACGTTGCGACTGTCCGCAGCCGAGTCAACGAGAGCAACAAGCATCAGGCGGCTGATTCATGAACGAAATTTGGAGATGTCCTTTGTGTTGCATTGTGACACAATGCCACCTTTGCACGATGGGTCCGTTTGAGCGTTTTCAAAGTAGATTGAAGCTGGGCCCCAGACAAGCGCATTGTCACTTCGAACCCACAACAATATATTCAGAGCGAAGCCGCTTCCAAGTGGTTTGTGAACTTGTCCCAAAATCGCCCAGGTTGCTGCATATACAATATGGCACATATATAATAAACATAGCACACTGATTGCATCTGACATTCACAAATCAAAGTCCCCACCCATTTTTAGTACGTTTGTTTGCTTTTAGGGGTATACAATATGGTACAAATAATAAACATAGCATTGTGACTGTATTTGATATTCATAGCAGTCCCCACCCATTTTGATTTGTTTTACACCTGGTGGAATGGGCTTCGGTCGCCATGCGGAGGTGGCTTCCCGCCACGCAACTGCTGGCCCGGTGCGCCGCTGAAATGCTCCGCTTGGACGTGCTGTCGCTGGACGCATCTGAGTCGTTTCTTCCGATCGCGCGCTAGGTTCGGAGTTCGGAGAGTTGGCGTTTGGGGCGAGCGGTTTTCAAGGTCCTGTGTAAAGTTGCATGTGTTTCTCCTTGGTGCAAGGTTTAAGGGGAATCAAGGGCCACTTGATTTGGGGTTCATCTATTTTGAGAGCACGGGACCCGTTGGGGTGATTATCTCCGGAAGGTTTGCACCCACGGAAAGGTCAATAGGCCCCAAGATTCAAGATCCAACCCTACCCAACCCTTCCAAATCGATACTCACAAAATCCATACCATACCATACCCTCGCAGCCTGGAAAACATTTGGGACTCCGCAAAAAAACAAAAACAAAAAAACAATGCATGAATATGGAGCATTGGCTCACATGGACTTACTCTGTGCCGTTTCCTATTGACCAATAAAGTCCTTACACCTCACAAATCGGTTGAACGTGATTCCCTTTGCATGTCCACCCACGCCTTTTCCACTTGACGGCTGTTGGGCAACGGATCTTTAGACTTTCACACTTTCTGGTTGAAATCAAGTTGGGTTTTCCACGAAACCCCTAAAAAGTGAAGAACCTTTTGCAGGGGGGTCAACAGCAACCAAGTGCAGAACTCTTGGGCGAAAAAATCCACAACAAACATTCTTCTTGACAATACACGGCCGTGCCTCCCGGGATTTCCTGGTTTTCCAGCAATCCGTGGAAGGAATGGTTGAAAGTGATCCTCGGATCATGTCATCTTTGCTGACATTTGTTTGGAAGTCCCAACCCCTTTTCACCTCTCGTTTCGTTGGTTTCGAGAGGTTTGTTTTGGGTGTTTCCAAAGATTGTGCACCTCTTGGTTGGTTTGAACAGGGCCACCAACAAAATGCAACGTGTTGGACGCGCTCACCGACTCGGGTGTAGAACGAGCTTACCCATGCAGGTTATTTGGGTTTTCGTTTTTCCGATTGCTCCAAGTTCAAAAGCTGGTTTTAGTCTTTGGTTCCATTTGCCAAGGTGCCATGTTTGGTACAATGTTTTGAGCCACAGCCATTCGTGTAGATCTTCTTCAGGCGCCGTCGGGGCATGCTTGTTCTCGTTTGGTCCAGAGAGAGGTGCTTCAATATGGCCCTGGGAGCCTGTGAGAAGAGCTACCAGTGGCGAGAGGCGCGGTTTTGGGGCCGCGGTGGCTTTTTGGGCGCTTTGTGTTATAAACGGCCACGGGTGGCTGAAAATAGGAGCACACCCAAAATGGCTGGATTGGCATTGGTGTCATTTTGAGTACCTGCGTGTGCCATGCTCAAAGCATTCCGTTACTTGGGGTTGGTGTGGACGGCCATCAGCCTAGAGTTTTAGACAAGCACTATGCAGCTAGATTACGGGAGCCGTGACCACTTCTGTGATGTTTCACGGCATGGAGCCCCTTTAGAAACATTCATTGGCGGAATCCCTTTTGGGTGAAAGCAGCCAGTGCTTTGGGTTTTCTCTGTGAATGTACGATTCCAGGCAGGTACCGGGGAGCAATTGTTGGAAGTCTACTTAAATGTTCAACCCACTTAGCAAGTAGGTTATACTGCAACTATGCTTATGAGGGAAGTACCCCCTTTTAGCCTGGAAAACCATTTTTTTGATGGCGCTTTTGGGTCATTGGGAGTTTCAGCTTCAGTGGTTGGTCGGTATCGGATCATTGCAATATTGTAGTACACCTCGCCTCGGAGGACCAGTATAAGGTCTACTCGGATGAATGAGGGTACCCTTGTGGGTTTTTTGACCATTTGAGTGGGGAACGTCATAAAACTGCTCCTACACCCTCCCAACACCCCGCCCAAACACACCTTCAGTGTTGGTCTGTTTTAGCATTCCCCGGAGTGTGTTCCCCCTCAAGGGTGTGGCGTTAGGGAATGAAGGAACCCTTCTTGGATGGCGTCAAAGAAAATCCAAAAGGCAACCACCATCAGCTTTTAGGGCTCCGCAATGTAAACCTGGAGGTGGTAGTCAGCTTTGGGGTGGGGGAGCATTCGAAAGGAAGCCATCTTTCAGACTGCATGGGGTACCCAAGCTGGTATCTCGTTTGAAAAAAACTCGATGCAGATTTACGAGGTTGCCCAAGGAGCAGTTTCCTCTAGGATGGTTTGTGCGGCACCTTGATTTAAGGGAATTCAATGTTTGGGGAGTTGTTTGTTGCTTTCAAAGGGAAACCAAGAGGAAACGCACCAGTTGTGAGCCTTCCATTTGCTGGGGAAATCACGAGTTACCCACGTGGCCAAACCTACCTGGCCGTGGGTCAACACGAATGGGGCAGGTGCACCACCCACTTTAGTTTTTTTTAGTGGGGATTGGGATGTTCACTGGGGGTACAGGGTTCTGACCCATAGCCGCCTGATGCCCGCCAGGCGCTGGGCATTTTTGCCGCCCTCGACGCGCCGAGCGCGTCCTCCGTGAACGGCGCCGTGGCGGCGCTGGCGTCGACCGCGTGGCGGCAGGCGCTCGAGCTGCTGCCATCGGAGGCCAACGCGTTGAGCCCCTCGGAGGCGAAGAGAAGAGGAAAACGTGGGGACTTGCAGAGAGTTGAACGGAAAAACCAAAGGGATAATGTTGACCCCATATTGATCAACTGGGGGGGGGTTCATATTATTCAACCCCAGTTTATTCATTGGGGGGGGTTCTCCTCCACAAGCAACGATTCCCCACCAATCCCAGGAACACCCCCTATTAATAAAATGGGGTTGATTTTATTGGGGTCAACATCATTAACCATGTTTGCAGGCTGCGCAACTTGACAATTTTGAGCGGGTTCTAAGGGGCGCTGGTAAGGGGCTTGGTGTCCTTTGAGTAATTGGGCTGAAACCCCTTTTCAAGAAACTTCAAACCGGGGAAGGGTATGCCAGGTCATGTTTTACTTGTTTTCCCCTCTGATTGAAGTATCACTGGTTTGAGTTGTTTTTTTTTGTTTTCAAATGATGCGTTCTTTGGGTGTGATGATATGAGCGATGCTGGTTACCATGGAAATCCACTGGGCATTTGAGGTAGGTATCTGGTCCTATGGTAGGGCCAAGGGGAAAGGAAGAAAGAAAGCTCCACATAGGCCTTAATAGTCGGCCCCTTTTGTGAGGGTCTGTTTGTTTGCAGGTATGCTTGTTGGGGGGGGCGGCTTGCAAGGCCAACAGGAAGCCGACCCCTTGTTGGGGTCCCTTATTTTGAGATCCATATTGGTCTTTTTAATATGGATATCAGGGGGTACTCCTTGTACGTGACCTGTTGATCTTTCAGCCGAAGCCAAATCGGCGAGTACTACTCCCGCGTTTGGAGGGCCAGAAGGTCTGTTGTGTTCCTCATGTTTGTTTCTGCATATTTTGAGCTTTACTTGCCCAAGCAACGCTCCAAACCCATAATGACTTCAGAGGCACCAGGAAGCAGCCTTCCATTTGTTTATTCCCCGAGGTGGACTTAAACCCAGCGGTTCTACTTCTGGCGAAATGAGCCACCTCTGAGTTTACAGCAGGTCCACCTCGAAGCAACCTAAGCAGAAGACAGGCAGCCCGAACACACGCTCTTGCGTGCCGTGGACCCCTTTCCTTTGTGTTAGTAATTTTCAAGGGTTCCTATGAAGAGGAGCATGACCATTCCCCTCACAATCAACTGACGAAATGCTGGATCATCTCTTGCCATCTTCCTTCTTGAGCCAGTTTCCATACGGACCGGAGACCATCACAAACACACAGAACAACATTTGCCCAGGGCACATGCAACTGGCTTTTCGAGCTTAAGACATCGGCTCATTTGGGCTCCCCCCAAGTCCCCCCCCCCCCCGTCCTCGCTCTCCTCGCTCCGAGGCTATGGCGCCTGCATCGGCGCGTGCGTGAAGGCGGTGCAATGGCAGCTGGCCCTGGGCCTCTTTCAGGAGCTCCGAGCAGCAGCTTGGGTCCAAGATCCGGACGGGTTTCGGGGGGGGGGGGGGCAAAATTGTGGCATCCTACCCAAGTGCTGCCTGCTTCATCTCAAAAGCGGCGTTCCTTTGATATGGACCGTTTTGACCATGTCACGGTTTTCCTTCCACATGTCCGTTTAAAGGGCACCACTCGTCCAACATAGGCACAGGGGCACAACCATGGTTGCTGTTGGGAAGCATTTGACTTTTTTGCTTTTTGTGGTTTAGTGGGAAATCCCCACTTAACTGCTAAGGTTTAAGTTTTGCTCCCCTTCCAACGTCAACCAAGCAACCCTTATTTGTTGTTTGTTTCCCAGCCAAGCGGCAGTCCTTCGGAAAGGACCTGGTAATCACCGGGAAAGACGGGCCCCTGTTTCCGGCGGCCCGGTGAAGTCAAGCGTCAACTAGTCTAGACCATTTTGCCAACCCAGGATTCCACCAGTTACACTTTGCAAACTGTTGGTAGATCCGGCATGCGCCCGGGTGGGTTCTCATTTTTTTTGGTTTTAAACGTTTCAGGGAAGTGAAGGTGTCAGTTTTTGTTGAGGGTGCCCTTTTTTTACAAAAGGGAAACCCAACATGGAAAAGCGCCATTTTTGAGGTCCCTCTATTGCAATTAGGATGGCTTTTGAGATCCTGTCCTAAGAGTCCTTAATTGCAAAAGCTCAAATTGGAAATAGCTCCTTAGACACTCTCCTTAGTGGCCCTGCGAAGACTCCTTAGGTACATTTTGAGCCAAATTGTCCTTTTAACCCCAAAGAACACACACAATTTGGATTTTTTGGAGTGATAGCAGGTTGCCCAAGAGTCCTTCATCTCCCAATGCCAGTCGCCAAGGCGGCCTCGGCAGTGGATCTGGTGACACGAAGTTTGGTGATGGGCGCCTATCAACAGGCGATGTACCAGGGGACGGCACCGCTGGCTTTCCTCAGGTGGCTGCATTTAAGGGGTCAGAGTTACTTTTGGGCTGGTTTTGAAATGAGCAGAAGGCGTTGGTGGTTTCCCTTTCAACAATTTAGAGGATCATCTTGAGGATGTCACTTTGGAACCAAGAGGGATGGGGTTGACTGTGGGGGGATTCGTCATCGCTAGATATGTTCAGTTGTTTGAGACCCGTTGCAACTCCCACAACCAGGCAAGGGTGTAGTACAGACACACACACACACCCTTTTAGAGCTACGGCGGAAAAGATGTCCAAGCCCTGACAAAAATATGTTGCCTGGTTCCCATGCAAGGCAAGCTTGTTTGGAAGTTTGGACAAATCCTTTTTTCTGCCCACATGAGGCAATATTCATATCAATTCGTTGCTGGATCATGTTTAGTCAGCACCCCCAAGGCGTAGTCTCAGGTGTCATGCACAACCCTTTGTAGAAAAGGACGCCCCCCAAAAACAACTAGCAATCGTAGAAGCTACCCGACACCTCTGTGTTTGCGAATGCCCCCCTACCAACTTGCAAGCCAGGATTGGCGTGAGACTGGCTCCCAGGAACAAGCACGCTCAAACATCTGTTTTCGAAGGTCAATAGGGCAAACAACTGGCTCAATCAAGAACATAATGTGCAGTTGGCGGAACTCAATATCAAATCGGAATCTTGTGGAGGCAACTGCTCGGCAGTTCTGAGAAAACTCGCGGCCGGCAGCATTTGACCCCTTCCGCACGTTCGATATGGTACGGAGGCCAAGCCCAACTGGTTCGCTCATAGAGTAGGAACTGTCGCTTGGAAACAGCTGGACGCAGAGCCAATTTTCAACCACCTCAACTAAAGAATGGAGCAATCAACACAAGTCTAAGTCAAATATCTCATTCTCATTGCAGCACCTCTTTCCTTTTTCGGTTCTTAGAACTATATGACAAAACTCAAACCTTGTTTACGTTTTCACTACGAGCTTGTTCCCCTTGCTTATGTCGTAGCGGGTGAAATGGCTGTTGGCGGGTTCCCAATTTGACCACCTGGGCATCCGTTTCGGGATCGATCCACGTCTCCGGTTCACGAAAACGCAGGCGGGGGATCATCATGGGGCGTGTTGGCAGCTGCATCGCATGCAGCGAGACGGCGCTGAGCTTCTGAGAAAAACATGCCCTGTGCGCTGCTTTGCGAGAGACGGGTCTCTTGGAGGTTAATGTTGATCCCATACTAATCAACCCCCGTTTATTTGAACGACAGGGTGCTTCTCCCTGGGTAATTGTGGGGGGTCAGATCACTTTTGGAGGGGCCAACACCACCCCCTATTAATAAACCGGTTGGTTAGTTAATGTGGGGTCAACGTTAGGGGCTTGTCCAGGTTTTCCAACCCAAAAGGGGGCAAGAACTCACGAACAAAAGGCTAAGGCCCTTCAGGGCCTCTGAGAGCTTTTCTGGTCGGAACGAGTCAGGGCAACCAGAAATCACCGGGGACTCTGGGCTTTCCGTCCCAGCTCAACGGGGGGGGAATTTTCGCTCAATTTCTTCGAGTCCACTGGCTGTCCGCATGCATCCAAACACCAAAAACTGAGAGCCGAGCATTTTCCATGTACAGGGCGCCCGTCACGGCTAAAGATGGGCTTGCAAAGGCGCCAGAAAGTCTGTTGCTTCAGATGCTCGACCACGACGGTTTGTGCTTGCTTTGAGGGCAGAATGATCGTCTTAGAATATCAGAGTCTTCGAGCAGGGGTTGAGTCATGCTCTACATGAGGTTGGGCTAAAGTATCAGCTGACGGTGGCAAATGTGGAAGGGACATGTGGGGACTCTCAGCACTCACCAAGTTCCCACAAAAACCGGGACGTTCAAGAGTTTTCCCTTGGCCATTACGGGAACCACGTAGTTTGGCAGCCAAACCTTTGGCCCTTTGCTATCATGGTCCCTCGCAAACCCGGATCAACCAGATTTCACCACAGAAATTATCGGATCGGGCCTTTCTCGCATCTTACTTCAGAAAGGTATTCGTTTGGTCCGGCTTCCAATGGAGCTGCTGATCCTGGAGGATTTAATGCCGTGGTTTGACCAACGCAATAAGAAACACTCAGACTCCTGGAGATTCTCCCAGCCTTCCTACATGCTGTGTGTTGGCATGTTGGTTTGCTACTGGTCAGGCATTTTCTCAGTATTAGTTTGTACTGTTTCAACATTGATTGCGTAGATTAAGTGCAGCATTAGTTTGTGTTTGGCTTCGTACTGCACATATTTGTAATTAGTGCATATGGCTTCGGCAAAATTGATACCCTTCAACATTGCCAGAGCATGAGTTCGGTTCGCGTGCAGCGTTAGATTCATTTGCGCATTGGTGAGCATTTGCGTGTCTCTTGCGTACCATATCCTCCCCTTTGGCACATAGAACCAAAAAGGGAAAATATAAGGCATATTCTTGAGCAAATGGGAGGTCTGACCTTTTTTCTGGGAACCCACCTTTGTTGGTGGTTTAAAAGGGGACCCAACAGGAAACCACCGGTTTGGCACGTCCATTTGCTTAAGCGCCCAAAATTTGAAAATAGTTCCAATGGTAGTAAACTTCATTTAAACCCAACAAGGGAAATATGAGAAATATTCTTAAGCGAATGGAAGGTCTGACCTTGTTTGGGGGAAGCCCCCCTTTGTTGGTGGTTTAAAGTGGGAACCAAGCCGAGAGAAAAGAGTAGAACCCCCCCAACGCTCCCTTTTACGTCGATACGTCGACTTCCCTTTTACGAGAGGATGTTCAGGTGGGTCAAGAGTGGTCAACCTCTTGGTGCCCATCTTCGGGAGGCTTCCCCCAAAAAAGCGACCGACATCTCCTTCCGAACGTTGCCTCAGCTTCGCAGCATGATTGTTGGTGGAAACGTTTTAGATGTTTGCTTGTTGTGGGATCTAGTGGTTGAAATCCAAATCCGCTTCACTGCCAAAGTTCTTCTATTCTTTTGCTCCCCTTCCAACGTCAACCAAGCAACCCTTATGTGTTCTTTGTTTCCAAGCGGCAGTGCTTCGGAAAGGCGACCTGTAATCACCGGGGAAAGACGGGCCCCTGTTTCCGGCCCGGCGAAGTCACGCGGAGGCGGAGTTGGCCCACCTCTGGCTCTGCGCTGGAAGCGCCGGGCTGCGCCAAGCGCCTTTGGCGCTGCAGCTGCAGCTGCTGGACGCCATGCTGCGGGGCGCCAGCGAGGCGACTGGGGCCGACTGGGCGTACCCAAAGCGAATCGACTGCCGATCAAGTGGAATTTGTTGTTTCCCCGATGTTGGCATTTTGATTAATGAAGGTGCCAAAAGGTGAACTAATTGTTGTTTCCAGGTCCTTTGGGCAAGTGAGGAGTCAACGTTTGGTACCGTGTTATCTCTGTGTCCTTTACGGATGCTGGCAAACAGCTAAATCCTGGAGGGAAGAACCTCTGAAGACAACGTTAATATACGGAGATTTGGATATGTCCTTATGTTGAGAGTTGCTTTGGGAATTTCCCTGATTTTGAGAACAACCCATATGGCTTGGATTTTCAACAGGGAATCTGCCAAAAAATGTTGGCACAGTATCCCTTTCAAGTTGTTTAATTGTGCTAGAAAGTGCAGTTGGTGGACAGACATCCCTATGTGAATGATGCCCAACAAGGGATCTCCAATCAGAACCTATACCCTCTCAAAATCAAGGGATTGGGACGTTTACTTTTGGTCTCTCTTGACACTTACTGAGACGCCTGAACTTGTGGGTGCAGGTCAGGTGTGTGTTCGTCTAAAACATTCTCGCCTACTTGTCATGAATCCTTCGAAGGTGGCAAAATGATTGAATGAGCACTGTGGGCCAGGTAGTGCCATTTTGGGGAACGCCTTTGGTTTGTCTCAACATCAGTCTTCGGTTTTCCGTTCGTTTCCTCTTGGTGGGGCCTTCTGGTTGAGAGGGAAACCACAAGAACAACAGCCGTTTTTGAGTCCTGTAGTTTTGAGACCGATCCATCAGCCCTTTTCGCAAGGCACGGAGCAGAATCCTTCACTTGGTTCGCGGGGCACCGGGGTGACTATGGGAGAGAACAAGTCGAAAGAAGTGACTTTTGGACGCGTGGCTGGTAGGCCTAGACCTTGCCGCCCAATTCGACCACATAGCGCGCGAGTAGCAGGTTCCTTTTGAGTCAGTCCTATGCCTTGTGTGATGTTTTCCTGCTCGCTTCGAGGAGCTGCTACTCTCCAGCGAGCTGCGCGGCGCTGTGGACGAGCGCCTCGTACGCGAATCCTATCCTCGGTCTGGGAAAGTTCTGTCGGCCCCGCGTTGCGGCGGTTCTTGGGTTTGCTCACCATGATGACATGATGTCCAGCGCAGGGTCCCCTATTAAGATTCCCACCCAAATGACGCTACTGAAGGTTCTTTAAGTATGCATCAGAATGACAGAACCTATTCCTGGCTGGGGCGCAACATCTGAAGTAGGTGTCTGGCAAGAGTCATTATCCTCTTTCCAACACTCCTAGAAGTGGACAGCGAGGGCCGGGGGTTGGGCAACTAGCATCGTCTTGAATATGCCCCTTGTCCACTTCCATGAGAACTGGAAAGCGGGTGTATGTCTCTTTTTTGGAAGGATCACACATTAGAGTCCTTTCACGCCCTTTGGAAAAAGCTTCCCCATAGTGGGCAATGTTTGGACGGCAAACTTGATGACCCCTGTGTGGTCTTCAACCAGTTTCTCGTTTTGATCCATGTGCCACCTATCGCGTCCAGTTGAGTTGTCTTAGGTTTGTAAGCATAGTTTTGTGCACCCGAGCGCCATGTGTTGGCACCTTCTGAAGAATCGTGGATCACCAGTTTGTCAGCCCCACTGTCCATATGGGCATGTGCCTTTTTGAGAGTAATTATCCAAATGTTGGTTTGAAGGGAAACCGATCCAGTTTGTGGCTCCCGATTTTGCCACGTATTGAGTATTCATGGGGGAAGCTCGCCTGAACTGTGGGTTCCACCTGCATACACACGTGCACTTTGAAGCAGCAAGACAACACCTATTCCGGTATTCCACGCCATTCTCGGCTGCAAATATATGCTGTGTAACCCATTGGTATTTTCTTCAAAGATACCCAATCAAGTGGGGGTAGAATAGTTTGATGTTCAGGACGTGTTCTTGCTTCCTAACTAATTCCTTGCTCGCAATCCCCCTGGTTGCGGAGTCAGATAGAAGCTACAGCTCCTCCCTGTACTTGTTATTTTGCCAGTGTCCGCATTTTGCTTTCCATCATCTCGTCCATTTAAAACAAGATCTCCCAGAAAGTGGCTGCGGGATTGTTTCAATTTTTGCTGGCCCCTACAGAGTTACCCAGGCTATTGATCCCTTGAACAATTGCTTTGCAACCATGGCTACTAGCCACTTGGCTCAGTGTCATCCTTGGCCCCGCTTTGACCCCCATCCTCGGGCCTGAAGGTTTCGACCCCAAATTCACTCAGACCATACATGTTTTCAAGACGTCCGGTTCGGCTCAAGATTGAGCCAGGGGACCGCAGGGTTTGGTCTACTTCATGGCTGTCGTTGGGAAACATTTTACATTTTTGCTTATTGTGGTTTAGTGGGATATCCCCACTTAAGTGCTAACATTTATTTGCTAGCTCCCCTTCCAACGCCAACCAAGACTTTGCCATGTACTCGTACCAGCTCTTTGAGCCACTATTTTGAAGGTCTCCCAACTTGGCACCGGTTTTCTTTTGGTTTCCTGCCAACAAAGGGAGTCCGAATCGATGTAGCTACGAATGTTCAATAGGAAGCCACCTTACAAGTTGTTGGTGGACATGAATCACCTAAATGATGTCCACCAAAGGGTCCCTAGTCAAATTCAGACCTCTCTTGGAAGGGGAAACTAAATGGAAGCCAACAATTTTGAGGTTTCCCCCATTTTGAGGCAAACCCCATTTGGGGGTTGATCAAAAGGTCTTTTACATGGGATGACCATTAGGGAAACTGTGCCAAAAACGATGACGTTCACCACATTAAAAAAGTGAGCCATGGTCTGACCTCTCTACTGGAGGACCTAGTTGAGACAAACCCCCATTTCGAGCCAGGCCCCAACTCTGAAAGCCACGCCCCAAATTGTTGCTCCCCTTCCAAGGTCAACCGCGAGATGTTTTTTTTGTTTTCTTGACATTGGTTCCCCAAATGTCGAGCCACGCCCCAAGTTGTCTGAAGCGATCGCTCGAGGTTTCTGGTGCAGCGCATGGACCTGGACTTTTCGGCCTTGGGCCATTCGGACTCGTTGGATCGAGTCGAGCGGTGCCGAGTTGCGGGCCCCTGGCGCGATTTCACGTGCTCAAAGGAATATGTGTGTAAACACTACTGAAAATCAGCCACCACTATGTTGGGTTTTTTTCCCTTTTGCTGAAGTGAATCTATCACTACTGGACATAATTTCATGTTTTCCAGGGGGGCGAACGAGCAAATAGAAGCTAGAGGGTTTCTATACCGCTAGCTTCAGTCGGAGAAACCCCTGCAAGTATAGTTTCCTTCTGGGGAACCCCTAATTAGAGCGGGCCTCCAGATTAATTTGAGGCTAACATTGGTAGGTAACCAGGGAAATTATGATGTAAAAGAAGGTAACTGGATGCAGTGGGAGATTCATTTGGGTTGGTCCCCCAAATAAAAGCCGCCGCTGAACACGGGACTTCTTCGTAAGACTGTTTTTTTTTGAAAGAGAGTTGCTGCACTTCCATGTTTGGAGGGTCACTTCGGGTAGGCAAACCAAAGCTTCCGACGCTTTCGGGACAGCGGCGAAGTCCGGAGCGCGCCTCAGGTCACATCGGCAGCTAGCTTCGGGAAGAAAGCGCGAGCTGCCGGGATCTTCACTCGGGACACTTGACTCCTGGTAGGAAAGTCTGGGAATTGTGTGAATGCTTGGAACCAGAGCGAGTGAGTGAGGTGAGGTGAGGTGAGGTGAGGCGACGTGAGGTGAGGTGAGGTGGGTGGGTGGCGAGTGAGGTCAGAGAAGTTCACAAGGGCGTCACATGAGTATATGCAAAACAACACACATGCCTTTTTGCCGGTGGAATTTAGCCAGAATCTGATTTCAAGCCGTTTGGCTGCTTGATGCGTTACATATTCACAAAGCTGCAGACCAGCATGCTGAAGCTTCAGCACCGCCCATTACATCGTCCTTGGTGTAATTTGATGATGTTTAATGGCTAGGTCTGCCAGTAGTGCCCGTTTTTAACCCCGTTTTTGGGGGAGGGTTCCCCTACTAAAATACACTACAGAAAAAAAGGGTACCCTTTTTCTAACCTTTGTACTGGAGGACCTAGCTCAAAGCGCTCAAGCTAGTTCTTGGACAATGTCATTGCACATCATGTCAACCAAAGCATCCAGCCAATGAATACTCATTCCCACATGTCTTTGGGTGCTAACTCGGGAGTCTGGACAAATTCAAAGATGTTCGGTTTCGACCATCTGAATGTGCTAAGCATCCTTAGACATGCCTATGGCGAACTCCGCGATTGAATGGTAGAGCCAGCCCATTAGGCCCTGCACTTGGGCATCCAATTCCTATTCCCGTTTTGGAGTCGTGGTTCAAGTTGCGTACACTGGCCCAGCTGCCCAGTGGATTCCGCCCCTGTTTCAACCTCTTTTTGTGGAAGGGTTCCGATTCCTTGAAACTCGACCCTTGCCAAAAAAGTGGATTCCGCCCCCTTTTTTTTCCGATGGACATCCACTGAACATTTGAGACAGGATGGTTCCTTGGATGGTCAGTCCCAACGTAAGTCCTATGGCTAGCGAAGCGACCCCCGTTTACCCCAGCGAATTACTTGGCACCCCGTTGGGCAGCGGATGATGCCCCACACGTATTGCAAGCCGTGGGTGTCAACACCGTTTTGGGATCCCATTTTGGTTGGTTGCTGAATTCACCAACCATTTTAGGACCTATTTTAGTGGTTGGACTGAGATGTTCACTGGGGGTACGATTTGGGTTTTGACCCATGGCCAACTGTCAAGGAACTTGCCGAACTTTTGTGGCCGAGGCTTGGTGCACTTGCTGTTCTTTTGTCGGGCTTTTCGACCCGCGCCGTACAAAGATGCACGCAGGTATGGAGCCTCCAGAGACCCGCCGCCTGTCAAGCAGAGGCACGGACCACGCGTGCGCTGTGAGTCGACCTTTTGCTCGGTTCACAGTCACATGGCTGTGGTTGTCAAAACCCAGGAAACCCCTGGTGAACATCAAAATGGTACATGGTTGTTCCACCCCAAAATGGAGGCATAGGCTATGACCCACCGCCAAATGTTTACCCATGTAAAACATGTTTGGTCCATGTTCAAGACTCACCTTGTCACCTTTGCGTCTAGAACCTGCTCCATGTTTGACTGAAGGTTCCAACCCGTTCGCCTTGAACTTCCAGGTCCTTTGGGCGGACTGGTCCAAGGAAAGCCACAGAACAATGGACACCCTCATTCTTTGAGTTCGGCGTGGGGTAGGCAGCCGAATTCACTGTTTTCCCAGTTCAGCATCCGGACGGTTTTGCTTGGCGCATTTCCCCACTAAAAAAGGAAAATGGAGCCCCAAAAGACGGGGGCCTGCTTGTTTTTTTCCAAAGAACACGGGGCGACTGGGTACACGTGTGGTCCATGTCGTTCAGGCGGCAAATCTTCCGCCAGGGCCTCGGGGAAGAGTCTCCGGAAGTGGGCGGCGGTTAGGCAAATGATCCCCAGGTCCCCCTAGGTGCCCTTTCTCATCAACTTTTGGGGGGGGAGGGTTCCCCTACTAGACTACAGAAAAAAGTTGGTACCCTTTACTCTGGAGGACCTAGGAACAGAAATCTCATGTTGACGAAACGGGGAAAAGCTTGATCTTGATCTTGATTTTCAGTACTATTGATGTTCACGCCATTACTATTTTTTGAGGATACCTGTTCGGAGCTGTTTAAATGGACATTCAAAGAGAAAACCACCAATTTGAAAGGTTCCCCTCTGACACATACACACGTGGGATGCTGTTTCTTGCGCGGTTGTGCCGGCGGTTGGCGGCTTCTCTTTTGGTTTCGCTTGGAAATCGTGAACGGCGGGGTCCTCTTTATCATTCCCCATTGTACCGATGTCTATTGCTTCTGCCTTGGCCGGGATCAATGACCCCCCTGGCTCTTGAGTAGTCGGAGTGTCCCATTTCAGAGGCGGGAATGCAACCGCAACTTGCCTTTGCATATTGATGCCGGGATTGCTAGGACCCCTTTTGGCCACATGTTCTCTGTGCTTGCCCAACAGCTACCTCGCGTGGCCTCTTGAGATCAGGGGTTGATATTGAATTACTCACTGCGCGTTACTCCATCAAGCCCAATGCCCATGCGATCTTGGGTTGCTTGCAAGTTACAAGCGTGAGGCCTCAGGTCCCACTCCATCAAGTAGTCCGGTTTTCCTCCAACACTTCCATTTGCTTAAGAATATTTGTTATTTTCTCTTGTTGGTTTTAAAGGGAATCTATCACTACGGCAAATACAAGTAAGGTCCGGCAGAGCCGGGGGGCGGAAGTTTCAAAGCAGTGAACAACTATAGTTTGGAGAACTGTCCTTGGCCCCTTGCTTCTCTCTCTCTCTCTCTCTTTTTCTCTCTTTCTCTCTTTCTCTCTTTCTCTCTTTCTCTTTCTCTTTCTGTTTCTCTGTCTCTTTCTCTCTCTTTCTATCTATCTCTCTAGCTATCTCTATATCTGTTTATTGATCTATCTATCTACCCATCTTTCTCTGCACTTAAAAGTTGCGATGTTCAATCCCCGAAAGTTGACTTCGCGTACTACTTTCGTACTTAAAAGTTGCGATTTTCGAGCCCCAGCTGCGAAACTGGACTTCACGTACTACTTTCGTAATTAAAAGTTGCGATTTTCGAGCCCCAGCTACGAAAGTGGACTTCGCGTACTACTTTCGTACTAAAAAGTCGCGATTTTCGAGCCCCAGCTGCGAAAGTGGACTTTGCGTACTACTTTCGTACTTAAAAGTTGCGATTTTCAAGCCCCGGCTGGCTGCGAAAGTTGACTTCGCGTACTACTTTCGTACTTAAAAGTTGCGATTTATCTATAGATCTACCTATCTATCTACCTCTCTATCTCCTATCTATCTATCTACCTCTCTATTTATTTATCTCTCTATCTCTTTATCTATCTAGCTAGTTATTTGTCTATCTATCTACAAATCTATCTATCTCTGTCTATCTCTGTTTCTCTATCTCTTTCTATCTATTTCTCTAGCTATCTCTATATCTGTTTATTGATCTATCTATCTACCCATCTTTCTCTGCACTTAAAAGTTGCGATGTTCAATCCCCGAAAGTTGACTTCGCGTACTACTTTCGTACTTAAAAGTTGCGATTTTCGAGCCCCAGCTGCGAAACTGGACTTCACGTACTACTTTCGTAGTTAAAAGTTGCGATTTTCGAGCCCCAGCTACGAAAGTGGACTTCGCGTACTACTTTCGTACTAAAAAGTCGCGATTTTCGAGCCCCAGCTGCGAAAGTGGACTTTGCGTACTACTTTCGTACTTAAAAGTTGCGATTTTCAAGCCCCGGCTGCGAAAGTGGACTTTGCGCACTACTTTCGTACTTAAAAGTTGCGATTTTCAAGCCCCAGCTGCGAAAGTTGACTTCGCGTACTACTTTCGTACTTAAAAGTTGCGATTTTCGAGCCCCGGCTGCGAAAGTTGACCTTGCAAAAATGCTGCGCCTGCCACCAAATCTGTGCTTGACCTTGCTAAAGTGCTGCGCCTGCCACAAAATCTGTACTTGACCTTGCGAAAGTGCTGCGCGTGCCACGAATTTTGCACTTGACCTTGCGAAAGTGCTGCACCTGCCACAAATTCTGTACTTGACCTTGCGAAAGTGATGCGCCTGCCACGAATTTTGTACTTGACCTTGCGAAAGTGCTGCGCCTGCCACGAAATCTATACTTGACCTTGCGAAAGTGCTGCGCCTGCCACGAAATCTATACTTGACCTTGCGAAAGTGCTGCGCCTGCCACGCAATTCAAACCTTGCGAAACCTTCGCGCGGCCGTGCCAATGGGCCCGTCTCCGAGACCGTTCCGAACCCGTTCCGAGACCGTTCCGAGACCGCCTCCGTACAGGCGTCGCAGCCGAGGTGGTTTGCGCACAGTCCGGAAGCCCAATTCACGCACAGCGCCAACGTTTTCTGCATCTTGCCATCCCCCAGCTCGCAGAGAGTGGACGCAGCACCTTGCGAAAGTGCTGCGCCTGCCACGAAATCGATACTTGACCTTGCGAAAGTGCTGCGCCTGCCACGAAATCTATACTTGACCTTGCGAAAGTGCTGCGCCTGCCACGAAATCTATACTTGACCTTGCGAAAGTGCTGCGCCTGCCACGCAATTCAAACCTTGCGAAACCTTCGCGCGGCCGTGCCAATGGGCCCGTCTCCGAACCCGTTCCGACCGACCGTTCCGAGACCGTTCCGAGACCGCCTCCGTACAGGCGTCGCAGCCGAGGTGGTTTGCGCACAGTCCGGAAGCCCAATTCACGCACAGCGCCAACGTTTTCTGCATCTTGCCATCCCCCAGCTCGCAGAGAGTGGACGCAGCACCTTGCGAAAGTGCTGCGCCTGCCACGAAATCGATACTTGACCTTGCGAAAGTGCCTGCGCCTGCCACGAAATCTATACTTGACCTTGCGAAAGTGCTGCGCCTGCCACGAAAATCTAATGCAATGCTGCGCCTGCCACGCAAAACCTTGCGAAACCTTCGCGCGGCCGTGCCAATGGGCCCGTCTCCGAGACCGTTCCGAGACCCGTTTCCGAGACCGTTCCGAGACCGTTCCGAGTTCCGACCCGCCTCCGTACAGGCGTCGCAGCCGAGGTGGTTTGCGCACAGTCCGGAAGCCCAATTCACGCACAGCGCCAACGTTTTCTGCATCTTGCCATCCCCCAGCTCGCAGAGAGTGCTTGCGAAAGTGCTGCGCCTGCCACGAAATCTATACTTGAGAAAGCTATCTACGTGTTAAGCTGGCTATATGTCAAAGCTATCTATCTGTCATGCAAGCCTATTGGAAAGCTATCTATCTGTCAAGCTAGCTATATGTCAAAGCTATCTATCTGTCATGCAAGCCTATTGGAAAGCTATCTATCTGTCAAGCTAGCTATATGTCAAAGCTATCTATTTGTCATGCAAGCCTATTGGAAAGCTATCTATCTGTCAAGCTAGCTATATGTCAAAGCTATCTATTTGTCATGCAAGCCTATTGGAAAGCTATCTATCTGTCAAGCTAGCTATATGTCAAAGCTATCTATTTGTCATGCAAGCCTATTGGAAAGCTATCTATCTGTCAAGCTAGCTATATGTCAAAGCTATCTATTTGTCATGCTAGCTACCTGTCATAGCTATATGTCAAAGCAGCTAGCTCATTTAGTTCCAGTACTACGGAAGTTTCTTGTTAAACTTCCTTTGATTATATTTTTTCCAGGGGGCTTCAGCAAATGGAAGAAAATGGGTCGCGCCCTTCCGGGCTTCGGGCATCTGAATCATTCAACCCGTTGGGGTTGGTGTTGCAAAAGGACCTTGACTCAAGATCTCGTCTGCGCCAAAAACTCAAAGTTTGAGCTTCTTCTGCTGCAGGAACTGGACACAAAAAGAAGGGGTCAATGGCAAACAGGGCATGCCTAATCAGTCAGGCTCAATGCCGATGCTCTTCAGAGGACCCAGCAGACGTCCAGCAGATTTCACGCCACAAACTTAAGATGTCCAGACGCAACCGGTTTTGCCAAATGCGCAGCTCAGATGGAGCGAAGCGGTACGAAGGTCTGTCAAGAATACAAATGGTAACTGTCCATTTGCTTAAGAATTACTTTCTTAGTTGGCTTTCCAAGGGACACTATTACTACTGTTGTTGTTTCCTCTTTTTTTAGAGGGACGAAAAAGCACATGGAGTTATAGTGAAATGTGAAATGCGAAAAACGACATAAATTGGGGTGGGCAACATCGGATCTACTATGTTGGTCGAGGGCTTGGCTGTTTGAGTCTATATCCGATCCAACCCCGTTCCCCAAGCCTCGCGAGGTTGGGAGATAGCCAGGGCGAAGCCCGAAGCGGTTTGATACCTCGATGGAACCAAGTTGGCAGACCATTGGCCTAGTACATAAACCAGAATCACCATGTCGGTACCAAACTAGGTCCCCCAGCTAGGTGCCAACTTTTACCCTTTTTTGGGGAGGGTTCCCCTACTAAAATACACTTCAGAAAAAAAGAAGAAAAAAACATCGGGTACCCTTATTCTAACCTCTCCACTGGAGGACCTAGTAAAAGTCCCATTTGGGGCACTCACACGACTTGCTTCATTTCTGTGTAGAAACCCTTGCTCCTCGCCTTGAGGCCGGCGGGAGGCTCGGAGAGCGTGGATGGAGCTGGGGTGAGCTGGTGCGGCTCCCCAACTCATGGTTGTTGTTAAGCACTTTATATGTTTCCTTCTTGTGGTTTAGTGGGAAATCTTGAAATCCCCACTTAACTGCTAAAATTTATGTTTGCTCCACTTCCAACGTCAACCGAGAGTGGCCCAGTGGATTCCGTTATGTTGCTTCCATTTGGTTAAGAACCTGTTTAAATTTCATCTTTGGTTTTACAGGGAACCTATCACTACTGGAAATATGTTTTTTTCCAGGCGGCTTCAGCAAATGGAAGGTTTTCCCCCTTTTTTTGAAGGGTTCCCCTTTAAACTCAACCCTTCCCAAAAAAGGATGCCGATTCTTTTTTACCATGGCCAGTGGGCATCTGTGGTTCAGCCCTTGATCCCTGTTGAATCCATAAAACCCTCAATGACCCGTCCAGTCTGAGGGCTTTACCCCGAAGACAACATCGGACTGCCCTTGTTTCCTTTTTGGAGAAGGTGTCCCTTTGAACCTACCAAACAAGACAAGCGCCATTCCTTTTGTCCCATGCCCCGGGGGGAGTCTGCAGGTCCCTTCCAAACTTTTCCCGACCGTATTCGTCGCCAGGGACGCGGCCGGGGCTCTCCTGGCTGCCATTGAGAGGCGCAAAACACACGCGGCCGGGATGTTTTCTTTGTCGGCGAGCTCACCGATGACGGGGGTCACTGATTCGGGGGGAACACGAGCTCGGTCATGACGTAGGTCTTTACTGCTTCAGAGGTTGGCAAAGTGTTTAATTGACAGACCTTTGGGGCTGATTCCATCAATCGCGACCCATTGTCAGTCGCGGCCATCCGTTTTTTGAAGCGACAAAAAGAGGAGGGCGGGGTCCAACCATAGATTGCTTCGGGTTTCAAACGTCGGAGGAGTTCGCTCGTGGAACTTCCAGTCCAGATTCCGTCCACAGCGTGCAGATCTGGATTTGCCAAGCTACAACCAGCAGGATTCCAAGGTGTGCTTTTTCGAATCGGGGACCCCAACATGGTGGTCTTCCCTACCACCCCACAGGGTCCTTGAAACAAAGGTCAATCTGCAGCAAACGTTTGAATTCCTGACAAGTTTTCGAGTTTTTCCAGGAGCTTCTTCACCTTTTGGCGCGTTGTGTGTTTCTCTCTCTGCTCGGGTGGGATATTTTCCGGTGTTCACGATGTATGATGGTGCAGTTTTGTACCCACTCTGCGGTGGATTTGAGTTGCCAAGAATCACTGCTTGATTTGTTTGCCACAGGGTAGCGGTTTCGCTTGTAGTGGTCTCCCACTACGGAGTATCCATTAGGATTCAGGATTCCGTTTTTGGAACAGCCCAGTCATTGTCGGGTTCCCAAGGTAAACCGTGGCTTGAGGCGGTGTGCAAGCCTTGCGTCATCAAATGGGATGATTGCAGGGCGGGTGTCCTATCTTAGAGAGATTCCTCAAACATCTCCCTTTCAAAGGACGTTCTCACGTAAGCTTGAGGCGCCAAAGACACGTGGTTTTAGCCAACAGGCGCAGGGAACAATGTAAGCCCGTCTTCAGATTTGAGAAGCTCAATGGAAAAACTACCTTTCCCTGGGAGGCCCCCCCCCCCCCCTTTCAACTGACGGCCGCTGAAGAGAAGTGAAGGCCAATCTATTTGCTTTGACCTGGCTTCCGTTTGTTTAAGAATATTGTTCTATTTCCCCTGTTGGTTTTAAAGGGTATCTATCAGATATCACTACTGGAAATATGATTTTCTTCCAGGGGGCTTAAGCAAATGGAAGCTGGAGTTTTCGGTTCTGGCAGGACTGGGTGAGAAGGGGCATGTATGTGTTGCACTGCCATGCTCTCCAAGGAGAGGCACTCACGCAAGCTATTTCCCTTGAGAAGCCATGTGCTATGTGCTTTTCATTCCATGTGACACCAGGCGCTACCCAAAATCAACAGTTCCCTTCCATAAAGCGTGGAGCTGCGCAAATCACTTGGAAGACTAATACTCATTTGACATCCTGTGTACTTCCATCCGGAGTGCATCCTCATTTCCTCTTGTTTGGTGGGGCCCTCACTCAACATGGCCAACCCGGGCAAAAGGCCCTCTCTACATTGTGCTACCATCAACGAATCCGTTGAAGTACACTGTCCCCACCCCCCACAACGGCTGTGGGTTGTCGTTGTTTGATACCATGTTTTGGCCTTGGTTAACACGGAAGCCAATAAATACAACTACAACTTACGAAATCAAATTCGGGGAACCTCCAATGCCGTGCTCCTGTTGAAAAGTGTGGCTTCCCTTTTGACAAAAGGCATATATATATATATATATATGGCTGTGGGTCAAAAATAGGTGCCCAGAATGGAACCCTGGGAAAAACATGGACCAAATTTGCGGTCCTCTGGTGGTTTAATTTTGACCCACATCCATATGAAAGGCAAGGCGGTGATTTTCGATCGTCTTGCCTTGACGTCAGGGACTATGCAGAGCCCGGTGCCCAGACGGAGGTTCAACCCCACGTGTTGTTTTCCCTTCCAGGAGGTTGCCTTTCGAAGGAGAGGTTACCTGTACAATAAGCCACCCGAAACAAGGGCAACACAATTTATCCCACTGGTGTTTGGGAAATGAGCCTGAATAAGTTGAATGTTTGTGCGTGTTGTACACACAAAATGTGGTTTGATCGTAAAATGAACATGCGAAACATAAATAAATAGGTGTTGCCTTTTGTATTTCCAACTAAGAGGCAAACCGAGGGTAGTGTTGCCTTTCTTTCCGGATGGTTCTCCTTGCATATATAGCCTGCTTGCCAAGTAGCTTGAGTATCCACAGGCAAGCCAGTCTCTGTGTGTGTGTGTGTGGTTTTGTCAATAGGCCAGCTGCAAAGCATGTGACAGAGGGAAGCCTTGTTTTGATACAGTGTTACACCCATGAGTGTATTTGTCACCGTCTTTTCGTTGCTCAAGCCCTCATGTGAAGTCAGAACCATGCTCAGATCGGGACATATCTTTTCCAGATCGGGACCTTCCATTGCGACCTCGCTGAGGGGTGCCTTCTTGGGGGTTCCTGATCTAGGTTTTTCAGCTGCCCTTTCTCATCAACTTTTTTTGGGGGAGGGTTCCCCTCAAAAATAGACTACAGAAAAGAGTTGGTACCAACTTATTCTAGCCTCTCTTCTGGAGGACGTAGTGATTTTGAGTTGCCGAACTCGTAAACTCCTGTGATACTAGCAATGACGAACCATGTTCAGTCGATGGTTTATTTGGGTCCATTGGGGAGGCAGGGGGTGGAACGACCAAGTTCAAGCAACCAAAACCCGGGGAGTCACACATTATCCCATGTCCTTCATGGCAATCAACTGCATGAAGCCGCTTCCTCCAGGGACCACCTTGACATGTTGAAACAGAGGGGTCTCTTTGCTGAAAACCTTCAGGAGTGCCTTCATGTTTAGTTTCCGTTTGGTTTCCCTTGAAATAACTACCAGGGAAGGGGTCCGAAATCCATTTTGAAAAAAAAAAAAAAACTGAGTTGGGCTTTCTGGCCGCACCCCAAGCCAGTGATTTGTTGCTCTGCACTTACTCAGTTGCCCGAAGCCGACCTTTTGACCTTTTGTGTTCCCTGATTTGATCCATTTGTATTTCACCATCTATTCTGGCTCCTTTCAATGCGCAACTGAGCTTAACGGCATGCCATTCAAGCAACAGCCCCACATGTCTCTCTTTGTGTGTGTGTTGGTTGTATTTCGGCCAGTCAGCCTCAGCTGGACAGGCTGTCATGGACTCGGTCCAGATCGGTGGTTTAGGAAATGAATCCGAGATGAGTGTCGAGGACCTCTTAAACCTCCGCAAGCCCCAAAAGTCAGGCTGCCCTTGGGCAATGTCTAGCGGCTTCACCTGGGCTCCATGATGAAGCTACCTTTCCCTATGTCCGGTTTGTGAATATATGACAATCTGCAGCAAGGCCTTGAGCCAGCGGTTGGAAGGAAGGCGCCCCTCAACCCGGATCTCCACGGCGCAGAAAAAACTCCTTGATTTCGGGAACATGCTGATGCTGGTCAAGGTTTATACCACAGGCCTTTCCATGAGCCCCCAACAAGGCAGAACCGACCTGGGGGGGGAGCCACAGTGAACGTTTAGTGCTCCCCTGTATGACATTGGATGGTGAGTAACATCCATTTCTTGATATGTTGGTTGGGCTGTTAAAGGTCGTTTTTTGGGGATGTAAACCCCTTGTTTCTTGTGAAAGCAATTTGTGTGGGCCACTCAGGGGAGGGCATTTGAGTCCAATTTGGAATGGTATTGCGTAATTTCAATCTTTTGCTGTCTCGTTTAATCTTTTGCAGCTAGCCGGGTAGCTGTACTGGACATGAGCAGATACTAGGACGTCACCACTGTAGCCACAAGTTTGTCCTGGGTTTGTCAACCAACCAACCAACCAACCAACCAACCAACCAGCCAACCAACCAACCAACCAACCAAACAACCAACCAAACAACCAACCAACAAACCAAGCAAGCAAGCAAGCAACCAACCAATCAGCTGTGCTGTCCTCGAGCGTATGTTAGATGAGAGGGGTTTGAGGTGCAAATTGATACGCCTCATGTATAGCTTTGCACATGTTTGAACCAGCCCACCTGCAATGAAAACAAGCTCACCCATGTTAATGTTTCTTGCTTGCTGCTTGGGGATTACGCTTTTCCAATTATTAAATCAAGCAAATTGCCCAGACATTTGAACAACATATTTGACAACTGCCAATTGGAATTGGAAGCACGACTTAGGATGATACTAGTTGCTAGGTGTTTGCTCCGCTCGCTTCCTCATTCCGCACTGCGTCAATACGTCAATGTGGTATAATCATATGATGTATATATATATATATATGGGCTTGTCCTTTTTTGGTGTGTTGAGTTGCTTCAAAAGGCAGAAGGTGGGACCTCCCCGAATCATACCCCCGAATCATACCCCCGAATCATACCCCGAATCATACCCCCGAATCATACCCCTTAAAACGTATGCTGCAAGATGCTACTGTTCTTCTACCGTTTTGTGTTGTTCACTGTCTCCACAACAACCAACCACCAGCGCTACTCAATACTACCACTGCCACTGCCACTGCCACTACTACTACTACTACTGCTACTACTACTACTAGTACTACTACTCCAATTACTACTACTACTGCTACTACCACTACTACTACTAGTACTACTACCACTACTACTACTACTGCTACTGCCGCGACTACGCGTATTACTACCACTACCACCGCTACTACCGCTGCTACTACTACTCTACTGCTTCTACTTCTGCTTCTGCTACCCTTACTACTAACTACTACGACTACAACCTTGACTACTACTACTACTACTACTACTACTACGACTACTACCTTTATTTCTACTACTACTACTACTACTACTACGACTACAACCTTGACTACTACTACTACTACTACTACTACTACGACTACAACCTTGACTACTACTACTACTACTACCTCTACTACTACTACTATTCCTGCTTCTGCTGCTGCTGCTGCTACTACTCACTACTACCACATACATCATTCTGAGTCTGTAACCAGTGCCGTTTTGCACCTAGCCGAATCATACCCGCGAATCATACCCGAATCATACAATATTGCTACTCGTACTACTACTTCGGCGACTATGCTGCTGCTTCCGCGAATCATACCCCCGAATCATACCCCGAATCATACCCGCGAATCATACCTGCGAATCATACCCCGTACTCAAACCTTCCTGCCCGACCACCCTAAAAAAATACAAGCCCATATATATATGTATATGTTATGTCTACAAAAGTAGCTAAACGCGCAACTTGATGTGTAGATTGTCTGTAGAGAACCGACTTGACACAATAAGAGACGGATTGATCGTGCGATGCTTTCGCCTTGCCAGAAAGCGCGCCTTCCACGTAGGCTGCAGCGCATCCCCAACAACTGGGTCGTCAGCCGGGTGGCTGGGCTGAAGTTCAATCCAAAGCAAATCGGGCCTTTGGCTTTCTGGATCTCTTGGGGTCCACTTTTAGTCAAGCCCGAAGCATCTTGGGAGCTCCCATGTCCATTTTCCGAGATTCAAGGCCAAAACCAGTGCATCCAAAGCCCCCTCTGTTTTGGCCAGAGTCCTGTCTGAGTGATGCTTTCAGAGGTCTACTTGATTTGCAAACCTTAGGTCCACATTATCCTTTTTTGGCTCCCTGGGTTCCCCTTTGTGGTCCACTTTGGGGTCGCCCTTTAAGGTCTCAAAAAGTGTCCACATTCTGTGGCAGAGGGTATTACTGCCTGGAGCCCAATGTTGTTCCGCACCGAATTTATTTCCTCCGACTGGATATATGACATAAAGTAAGATAAATAAATTGGAGTGGACATAAACCACCGAACCACAAAACCTATAAAACTCGCACAGCCACATCCTTAAAGCAACCCTGAAGCCAATGCTAAACCAGCCGCGCACCTGGCACACAGCATCCCCAAACCAACCAATCCCAACCACATCCTGGATATCAGCCCTTTGCCGAGCCTAAATTAATCTCAAACAAGCCCACGGCACGCCCTCATTCAGACCTCAGCAAGCCCAACACTCACCCCAAACCAGGCCCGAGCAACTCTGAACTGCCACCAAATCAATGCCAATAGGCAGCCAATTCGTCCGAGCGAGGCCGGTGATGCGGGCAACTGACCCCAACCAAGCTCCCAGAGAATAACGCCCATAGGTGTCCTTTTTGGTTGTTTTGCTCGAAAATAGATGGCCCTGGTTTACCTGATGGTTTTTTCTCATCCACCAGGGAAATCCATCTATTTCCCCTAAAAGGACACCTATGATAACGCCTGCCCCCAACTTGAGAGTGAAGCAAGGGTTCCGAACCAACCTCTTTAGAGATACATGAGGGAGGCCTTATGCTGAGCCGGGGCTAGTAAAAAGCCGCGGCTAGAAAAAAAGGAGAAAAAAAGCTCGCCCGAACAGTAGCCGCGAAGTTTGCTTGCAACATCGCTGGTTTTGCCATCTTCAGAACATACGGTACGAAGTCTTCATTGCAAACCTGAAAGTCTTGTCTCAGAATAAGGATCCTCTTGAATCTTTATGTTCTTTTTGGTTTCGCTTGACACCAACCCCTCAAAAGAGTACCAGCTCCAAACATGGCTAAAAGCTCTTGAGATTTCGATCGGAGTCATGAGCATCAAGAAGTTCTTCCGAGGCGTTCAAAACCACATTGTTCACTTCCAACCCTTCCAAGCATAGATTTCTCTTACCCAGTGGCTGTTTGTGTGCACCAATCTCGCTGAGCTGGGCGATGTCACCTGCGATCCTGGCGTCGACATTGGTTCACTGGCTTAGCCTATCTTAGGTGGTGCCAGTTTTCCCTTTGTGTGGCAACTTCCCCACTAAACATGGTGAACCTCCGAGAAGAGTCTGCCGACTACCAGGATCGCTGAACAGCTGGGCTTTAGGAACCGAGTTCTTGAAGGGCTAAGGATCTCATTTGTTTCGGTGGGCCACTCGGTGCTGGTTTTTCTTTTAGTAGGTCCCTCAGTAGCGCCCTTCTGCCAACTTGTCTGGGGGAGGGTTCCCCTAAATTCGACGACAGAAAAAAGAGGGCACCCTTATTCTAACCTCTCTACTGGAGGACCTAGAAGGGGTAAGGATCTCATTTGCGTGTTTTATCTCTCTATATATATAATATATATACATATTTGTTTGAGGGGGGCCCACTAAGGCGGTATTCGCCTCGGCCCCAAAGGGGCCAAGGGCGCTCAGATCTCTTCTCCAAAGAGAATCTTCGCTTTTCCCCTCCCCCAACCCCGACCAAAATTTTGCCGGCCCGCCCCCCCACCCATGTCGGCTGGCCCAAAATCCTGTCCGGCGGGCCTTGAAATTTTCGGGGTTCGTCGGCGTCCAGCTCCATGGGTCCATTTTTGTCGAAAATCACTAAACAAATGCTTTTTTGTCCTGAAAAGCATGACCTCCTTGTCTGACGTGTCTGAGACTGGGCTCAGGCCCAGCCCAACCAGCAACCCGCCTGCTGGCCAGGCCCAGCCCACCCAGCCTCAGGCCCAAGCTTGTCTGAAACAGGCCTAGCCCAAGCGCGGCCCCAAGTCATCCAGCAAGCCCAGCCCAGCCTGCCCAGCCCAGGCCCCGGCGCATCTCAGGGCATGCCAGCCACTAGGCCGGCCCCCAGCTCCCAGCCAAGGTCAGGTTTGTCTAACGTCTGAGACTGGCCTCAGGCCATCAGGCCAACGACCAGTCTCACGTGTCTGAAACTGGTCTCAAGCTATGCCGGTACTAGGCCTGTCTGACGTGCCCCAGCCCCTCAGTCCGGCTGCCCAAGCAACTCAGCCCAGGCTGGCCAGGCCTTGACGCGTCTGGCCCCAAGTCATCCAGCAGGCCCAGCCCCTTCGGCGCAGTCTGAGACTGGTCTCAAAGTATGCCAGCCTGAGACTAGCCTCAGGCCCAGTCCCTCAGCCCGCCTGCTGGCGTGTCTTACGTGTCGAAAGCTCGCGCCCGAAACCGTCTGCAACAACGCGCCGCGGCCGGCTAACCCCCGCGGCCGGCTAACCTCACACCTCCTAACCCGCCTCCCCCTCAAATTAATTAGGCGCGGCGAGGCGCGGCGGACCGCCCAGACCCCTCGGAAGCCCTCGGAATCGATCAGTCCCCTCCAAGCGCCTTGGGTTCCTTCAAGGCCACGCCCCTCAGGTTCCTCATGACGCCCGTCAGGTTCCTCCAGACTCCTCAGGAACCTACAAGATCTGGGTCAGGCCCATCCCAGCCAGCAACTCGCCACCCAGCCTCAGGCCCAAGTGTGTATGAAACAGGCCTTGCCCATCCAGCAACCCGCCCAAGCACAGCTCAGCCCAGCCCTCGTGGCTGAGACTAGCTTCAAACCCAGCCCAAAGCCTGCCCAGCCCAGGCCCCGGCGCATCTCAGGGCATGCCAGCCACTACCGGCCCCCAGCTCCCAGCCCACCAGCAGGCTCAGCCCAGCATGCCAAGGTCAGGTTTGTCTAACGTGTTTGAGACTGGCCTCAGGCCAACGACCAGTCTCACGTGTCTGAGACTGGTCTCAGCCAGCTACTCAGCAGCCCAGGCTGACCAGGCCCTTCGGCGCAGTCTGAGACTGGTCTCAAGGTATGCCAGCCTCAGACTAGCCTCAGGCCCTCAGCCCGCCTGCTGGCGTGTCTTACGTGTCTGCGCCTGGCCTCAGGCCCAGCCCAGCCAGCAACTCGCTACCCAGCCTCAGCCCATCCAGCGACCCGCCCAAGCACAGCTCAGCCCAGCCCGCCCAGCCGAAGTTCCAGGCACAACCAACAGCGTAGTCCGGCTGCCCAGCAGCCAGCAACCCACCCATGGCTTCGCAGCCTCGTGGCTGAGACTAGCTTCAGGCCCAGCCCAACCAGCAACCCGCCTAAGCCAACCCCAAGCCCACCCTGTTTGAGACTCGCAGGCCTCAGCCTATCTAGCGCCGAGACTGGGCTCAACTAGCGTCTAGCCCAGCCCAGTCCGCCTGCTGGCCAGGCCTGTCTGACGTGTCTGAAACTGGCCTCAGGCCCAGCCCAGCCATAGCCCAGCCCCCTCAGTGCGGCTGCCCAGCCCGCCGTAAACTAGCTTCAGGCCCAGCTCAACCAACAACCCACGCAAGCAAGGTCCAGCCAAGCTGCCCGAGACTAGCTTCAGGCCCAGCGCAGGCTTATCTGATGTGTCTGAGACTAGCCTGTGGCCCAGCCCAACCAGGCGAGGCCGGCTTGTCTGACTTGTCTGGAGCCAGCTTCAGGTATTCGGACCTTCCCAACACTGGATTTCGGTGTTCCTGACCCTTCCCTCAAACTAGGCTGGGCCGAGGCGGGCAACGCGAAGCGTTTACAATTATTATTATTATTATTATTATTATTATTATTATTATTATTTTGTCTTTTGGATTTCCTTGAACCACTTACAGATGGGCCATGTCCCATGGGAGGGTTTTGGGACCACAAGGTGCCTACGCCTGGTGCGCCTGCGCGCTCCCGAAAGGTGGGCCAGGCGGGGTTTCTTGAAACGAACCTTGTCGGCGCCAACTCTTTGGGTGACCTGAGCCACTTGCTCAAAACCTGGGTAGATGAAGCTTAGTAAGGGAAAGACTCAGCCGGAAATAGTGGCGGGAATCCGCCTTTCTAATTCTTTACATGGTTCTGGGTTCACCCATTTTTGTACCAGGTTGTGATTGTGACTCACCTGTGGATGCATATGTGTTTTGGTTGATGTGGTTGTAAAATAGAGGGCCCTGGTGGTTCAATCAACTTCCAGGTCCTTTTCTTTCTTCCCGAAAAGGACGCCTATGGGTCAGCCACCAGGTGCTCCTCCGAGTGGGCCATGGGACTGGACTCTTCGGGCTTTTGAACTGGAAGCGCTGCCGAACAATTCGGCGGAAAGTTTGACGTTGGCCTCCCAAGGCGAGAACTCCGTGTGCGAAGGCAGCTTGACATGGAATTTTCTGGGCTGAACTGAGTTCTTCTTGGTGTAGAGGGGCGTTTAAGCCAGCACCGAGCCTCAACCTTTTCGCTTGAACTCGCTGGACCTTTGCAAAGGTTCTGACAAGAGCATACCACATCACTGTGCAAAGGCAGATGCATCGGGGTTGGTCGGGGAAACCCGACTTGGCCTCCAGGGCGCCTTTTGCGAGGCAAGACACTTTCGCAATGGAAGTTTAGCCATCCCTTCAAAGTACCTCTTCAACAAAACGACACTAGACAAAGCCAAGGAATCCCAGCGCCGGACGCAAGCCCCATTTTTCCTGTCAGGTCATGGGCAGCGCAAGCAGAGAGAAAAAACATCTCCCCAGTCTGTTGGTGCTTCTTCTCCTCCTTTTCGGAGGGGATGTCTCCTTGATTTGTTTTGACCAAGAAGCGGAGGGCGTTTGTCTCCCATGGACTTGGCGACTTCTTTAGGACTCTTCGCCCGTTAGCTGCGCGTGGGTTTTTTGCGCATCTCAGCGCGGTGGGGTCTGTGTCCGTTCGCCAGATCTCGGAGTCAGAGGAGGCGCCTTTGCCCCAGCACGTGGATGTCGCAGAGGCTGGGAATCGGACTCCGGGCACCCCGGAGTTGGATGTTTCAAGACCCGACGGCTTGAGGGTCCTGAATTCCACAGGAGTTGCTGGTGTTGTGGTTGAAGCCCGCAAAAAGCTCGCTGTTGCTCTTTTGGTCTTTCTACCCTCAAACAAAGACAGACCCGGTGGTTTGATAAGGGAAAAAAAGGCCGTCACGGTTGGTAATTTTTGCCAAGAGACATTATTTCGACCTTGCGAGACAATTTCCCGCTGAAGGTGTCAATCAAATTTCTAGGGGTACCTTCCCCATTCTTTTCAGCCATCGTTATTTTCAAAAGCCAGCCATTTCCCCAGAGTTTTTGGCGGTTTTCCAGAAAGAAGGATCCCTGGAAAGAATGGGGAAGCTGCCCCCAGAAAAATGATACTTTCCTCGGAAACCGCCAACTTCTAAAATGCTGCACTTCAGCGGCTGTGCCTGCAAAGCTCGTGATTCTGCTTACCTTCCATTTGCTTAAGAATATGTTTTTTTTTTGTTTTTCCCTGGTTGGTTTTAACAGGAATTGATCACTACTGGAAATAGTTTTACTTGTTCCCAGGGGTCTTAACCAAATGGAAGTTACAGCTTGGCAACAGTTTTTGTTGCTGGGTGCCAGTGCTGACATACAGAGAAGGCAAACAGCAAGGGCTTAAGCTTTAATGTTGACCCAGGATGAATGAACCCGTCCCAGTATTAGGGAGCTGTTCCCTCCAAAGGTGGTCTGAATCTCCCACTAAAAGGAAGTGGACACCCCCCCCAATCAAAATCAACCAGGGGCTCCTCTTAATCCGGGGTGAAAACTTTGCACCGCCACCTCGTGCTTTGGGACCTCAAGGAGAGGCGCTGACAACCTTCACTAGGTCCAGTTTTGCAAAAACACAGCGGACACTGGAACACATTGGCCATCGATCCCAGTGCCCGAGTATTGTTAACTTGGTTTCACTGCCATTTGCAACATCCTCAACTAGGTCCTCAAGTAGAGAGGTTAGAATAAGGGTACCAACTGCTTTTTTTTTTTGTAGTCTATTTTAGTGGGGGAACCCTCCCCCAAAAAAGAGTAAAAGGGCACTACTGGGGGAACTAGTTCAGATTCCCAGGACATGTTTTAACCTGTTTTTTTGTTTCCCGAATTTGCCAGTGATTTGGCTCTCTCTTTTCGAGGCTACCCTTTTTCGAGTTGCATTAAAAGGGAATTCCAAAAGACATTGGTTCCCCTCTTTCAGCATATGCCACGCAATGTGGGCCATCATTTGGGCAACAGCTTAGGTGCATAATTGTCCGAAGAAAAGGATATGAGGAGCCTGAGGTTTGTTGCGTTGTGACCTCATGAGGGGCCTTGGGCATTCTATGAGGCTGAATGTTTGTACCGTGTTGTCAAAGTGCAGACACCTGAAACGGAAAAGCTTAGCAGGTATGTACTTTCAGGTGATTATTGTTCCTTTCTTTTTGTATTCCTTGCTTCTGTCTTTATTTCTTTCTTTCTTTCTTTCTTTTTTTCTTTCATTATTTCTGTCTGTCTTTGTTTCCGGTTAAGTTAGTTTTAATATTGGCCCCTGTTATTAAAGTAAGTGCCGCTAACATCCAACATCCGATTGGTCTATCGGTTGCGCCGCTGGCTGTTGTGGCTTGTCCGGGCTTGGGCAGATAGCCTGGCCGCCGGCACAAGTAAGGGGCGCCTCGCCAAGATCTACTGTCATCTGCTTCCATTTGTTTAAGATTGGTTTTTTTTCCATTTTCCCCTGTTGGCTTTAAAAGGAATCGATCACTACTGGATTTGTTTTTTATTTATTTATTTTTTTTCAGGGGGCTTAAGCAAATGGAGGTTTGGGGGCAATGAACATTCACTGTGACCTCACCCAATATATATATATATATATGACAGACAAGATCATGGGGGCTGATCACACATATGTATACATATATATATATATATATATATATTGCAACGACTAATTACTAGAGGTGACTTAGCCCAGCAGAGCCCAAACTGGTCAAGTGGTAGGGCTTGGTCAGCTTCATACAAAATAATATATAAATCCGTGTGTGATCCTAGCCAAGCACGCCATGTCATAGCTCTCTCCAAATGATGTCGGTTTGGAAGGCGAGAGGATTGGAAGGATCTCAATGAAGCCCCTGGTCCAAGTTCCATGATTGTCGGAGAAGGGTACACGTGGGGCAAACAACTAGTTGCCCCTTTACCTACCTGGAGTCTGTTTGGGGGTGTTTTTCGGGACTACCTTTTTGGGTTGGTTCGCAGGGAAGCCAAAGGGTTCTTCCACCTTTCTTCTTTTGAGGGGGTCTGCAATTTGAATACACACCCATCTGCTCTGGATGGACGAAATCCTGCACCACTTGGAAACCATGATGAACTATTGTTTGTTGGTATTTACAGGTGGATTTTGTCCATCCACTTACCTCAGTCCACCGGCTGCATTTTGCCCAACCGCGAGGTTCTGGGCATGCCGCAGCCCCGTTCCTTCGTTCCGGGTGGATTTCGGGCGTCCTGTTTTTTTTCTCCAAGATGGTCGGGTTTCAGGCAACGCTTAATGGGTGGTTGTTGTTGGGAAACAGTTTTTTTTTTTTTTTACATTTCTGCTTATGGTGGTTTAGTGGTTGAAATCCAAATCCACTGAGCTGCTACAGTTTTTCAATTTTTGCTCCCCTTCCAACGTCCACCAAGAGTTGGTGGTTTGCATTGGTGGTTTGCATTCTGAAGCAACTGCGCACCCCCGAAGTTGTAAAAAATCCGAACCAAACCGCCAATTGGGAAGCTGCCTGGCGGTTTGGAGCTTCCTCTCCGATATCGACAAAAAGGTCATCCCGAAACCACCAAGACCAATCAACGCGTAGGGGTAGACATGGGTGTTTCTCGACATCGTGGTTCGCTACAACAATTGGTTCCGGTTGGCGCCTCTCTGCCAACAGGGGTTCACCATGTTGAGCAAATCCACAATGTTCGCAGAAAACAACAAAGCCACGTCTGATGGGAAATCAACGTCTTGAACGGTGGGATTTGGATTCCTCGTGTGGGGCAACCCATTTCATTTGGTGGGTTGCCCCTTGAGACGACGGATTCCGAGTCCCAACCCCTTGCTGGGGGCCATGCTGGCCGGGAAATGCGTGGAGACCCAGTAGCTTTGGCCTGGCATATGGATTACTCAGACCTCCCGTGAAGCCCTTGCTTCCCGCTTTGCTTTTGTTCTGGCGAAAGGTCTGCCGACAAAGAGTGAAGAGGTCAGCGAAATGGATTTTACTCAGGTGTTTCTCATTGTTTCTCTACGAAAATGACGAAATGGTTGGTTTCTCTAAGGGTTTCCCCTTAAACGCAAACTACGAGAGGCTTCATGCTGCAGCAACTCCCACATCTGCCGTTATGGGCTTCGAGCTCACCTGTACGTTTGGCCTTCCATGCGAACAACCGAACCTCGCTGTGTGAGATGAAGCCGGCCCGTGCAAACTCTTCTCGAGAATGGTTGCGCGTCTCACAAGGGGGTCAGACTGACTTCCATTTGTTTAAGAATATGTGTTATTTTCCGGGAATCTATCACTACTGGAGATATTTGTTTATTTTGTTCCAGGGGGCTGAAGCAAATGGAAGCTGAAGTTTCAAAAGGTAGCTCGCCACTTGGCCTTTTTGAAAGACGTGCGTGGACTCGCTTTCGTGTGTGCGTCGAGGGGGTGATTTTCCATTGTTTTCAGCCATTGTCCACGTCACAAACCAGCTGTTTCCCCTTGGTTGCTTTCACAGTTTCCTGAAAAGAAGGATCCCTGGAAATCACAGAAGCAGCTGTTTCCCCCTAATTGTTTCAGGGCTCCTGAAAAGATACATGTTGCCCATTTGAAACATGTTGCTTTTTCCACCAAAATAAAGTTGGAAGCCACCATTTACAAGTTGCAATGTTCAGGTGTTTTTCATGCATCCGGATCCCTGTGTTTTTTTCATGGAAAAGAATGGACCTGGAGGCTTGGAGTTCAGACACCGGTTTTCTCTCTCTCGGCGGTTTTTTGCGACAACCGCGCGGTGCTTCGAACCTTTCGGAGCCGCCGAGCCGCGTGCCGCGCGCGCGCGGCGCTTCGAACCGCGCGCTTGCTTCGGAGAGGCCGGGACCAGCACATCCTGGTGACCAAAGAGCGGCAGCGGCGCTTCGCGGAGTTTGCCCGGGGCCCCAAAGGCCCAGGACCCCAGCACCGGGGACCCGAAAACCAAAAGTGGCACCCCGGCGGTTTGTTTCCTCCAGCTTCCATTTGCTGCAGAAGACTTGTTTAGTTTCCCTTGTTTGGTTTTAAAGGGAATCTATCACTACTGGATATTTTTGTTTTAGTCAGGGGGCTTTAGCAAATGGAAGCCAGTTGTTTGCTTCCTTTTTGTTGCCCCTTGAGTTTTTGTTGTTGGAGGGGTTCCTTTCAATTAAGCGGTTTCCCATGAAGACCATCAAGGGGGGTCACTTTGTTGAACATCCCCATTGGGTGTGTTTTGGTTTGAAGGTCACAGGGAAGCCGCAGCAGGGAATCGTCCATTTTGTGGTCCAACCGTTTTGAGACGATCCCCATACGTGTTTCTCTGTGTGGGGTTTTCTGTGGACAATTTGCATTTAATTGCCCACAAAAAGCGGGACTCACTTTTTATCTCATGGCCCTTGCGGGAACCGTGGCTTCTCACAAGTGGCTCGTAAAGCTGGCTCACAAGTCGAGGAAAAAAGTAGCAGGCGAAATCACAAGTCGATTGGGCACCTGCGAGAGTCTCTTGCCCCTTACGGCTCATGTGGGGTCTGGTTGTGTTTTTGGTTGTGTGTGCTAGGTGCTGACATAGAGTCAAAGTTTCCGGTCGGTCATTTGAGTCATGTTTATTGGACCTTTGATTTGGGGGGCTGACTTCGAGCGGGGTGATGAGTGATGTGGAAATGCAATAACAACAGCACAAACGAAAGCAACAACGCCACCGAAGACAAGGGCAGCGGACAACAAACACATTTCAAAGCAAGAGCAGCAACACTCGGTTGTTGTTGGGACACATTTTAAACATTTTTGCTTGTTGTGGTTTAGTGGGAAATCCCCACGTGGCAGCTGAAATTTAATTTGTTGCTCCCCTTTCAACGTCAACCAAGCACAAGACGCACCGCAGCAGCAACAGGTCTGTCGGGAAGCCCGAAGCGCGCCAGGTCCTTTCCAACTGCTCCGGCAACTCGCAGGGCCCCGAGATCGCATGGGGTCGCTTGGGCAGGGCTGGGGTTTAAAAAAAAACAACGAGCAAGGCGTGGCAATGCTTCTGCGACCAAAGAAGCCATACAGGAATCCCGTGGTACAGAAAGGCTTTGGTGCCTTTTGCTTGGCTGTTAGGACTTTAACTTTTTGCCAACTAATGGGTTTTCCACTAAACCACTAAAAGTTAAACTTTTAGCAGGGGAGCAGAAAGCAACCGAGAAGGGTTGTTCCCACAAGGATGTTTGAGGGTCTGACTGCTCTGGATGTCTACAATGGGGGATGCCTTGAAAGGCGCCCGTTCTGTCGAGCGGTTTGAAAGGGAAGTACAAAACGAAGACGGGCCTTTCGGGGGTCTTCAACTGTAGCAACACACCCAGAGCCATGGGCAAGCCTCAGGTCCATTTGGGGTGCGCCCCTCGAGCCAGGGTTTGGTGATTTGGGGGTGGTTGCCTCGACTTGAAGATTCTGAGGAATCCAGTTCCTGGACAGATTTCGTCCGGCAGACATTGCAAACCGTGATGGAGTTGTGTGGAATCAGCGCCGATACTCATAGATTCCTTCTGGAGCACAGCCAATTTTACGATCGATGTGTGTGTTTCCGCAACGCGCCAAATTCTGGTTGGCTTCTTTGAAACCGGCCTGGCCCATGGCCATGTACTTTGGTTTGCCCTCGAGGGGCCCTTCATACCTCTTGAGTACGTTGAGCTTTGAGCCCTTTTCATGGTTGTTGGGAAACATCTTACATTTTTGCTTATTGTGGTTTAGTGGGAAATGCTAAAATTGGATTTTTTGCTCCCCTTCCAACGTCAATCAAGAGTTTGGCCCTCAAGTACATCCTCTTAAGTTAATGAGGTACCAGACCTTCTGGCGGCACTCGTCTTGGCGCTGCGAACGCGATCAGGTTTTCCATGTCGGACTGCAACGTGGGCCCAGAGTGCGCCAAGGCTAAGCGGGTCGTCCAGCCATACCCAGATGCGTGTGCGTATATATGTATGTGTGCTGTTTTTTTTTCAATCCGAGATCAACCCTTCTTGGAGCTTCCCTACTTGGAGGCAAAAACAAAAGTAAGACATGAGGCACGTATCTGGCGCCGCCGCATGGAGCGGTTGCTGGAGGTTCTGGAAGTTCTGAGGGTGGTTAGGGCTTTGGAGGCTGCTATGAAGCTGATGGCTTTGGTTCCTATGAGTTTTTTGAAGAATCACTTGACTGCTATTGGGTTGGATCTTTAGAATGGGGAGTCAAGTTGGGTTTTCCACTAAACCCCCGAAAAGTTAAACTGTTCAACAGCAACCAAGATCAGCACAAGTCGGCGGACAGGACCCTCGGTCTCCCCGCTGGTGCCTGGGGCATCGCAAGCCTCGACCTACGGTTTTTTGGGGTGGACTTTGAATACATGGCATGGAGCAACGATGAAGCGCCATGATGAAGACCGCGTGCCTAGGGGATCCCTCATCTCTGTTTTTTTTTTTTTGTTAATTGAGCAATTTGCAGAAAGATGTTGGGTTTGGATTGGCCAGCCCTCGCAGAGTCGACGCCCGGCAGAGTGGCCCAGTCACCCAGTTGGTTTGGTTTCGCAGACGAGTTGAAGCGAGTCATAATTGTTGTTGGGACACATGTTGACATTGTTGTTTATTGTGGTTTAGTGGTTGAAATCCCCACTTCACTGCGAAATGTTTAATTTTGGCTCCCCTTCCGACGTCAACCAAGGAGTAGGGAATGTCATGCTGCAAAGAGTGAACTTTAGTCACACCACTCCTTCCAACAATCATGCGAGTGCACTGGAAGATTGTTGAATGGCGTCCTCCTGAAAAGGCTTGTCCGCTTCCATGATTGGACAGATCAAAAATTCGCCCGCAGTATCAGCTGGTTTCTATGTCAGGCCTTGGGGATTGGTGGGCAAGATAACTTCTATCGCCTTACTTCAAGGAGGCAGCAGAACCCGACATGAGAGGCACCTTCAATTCGATCTTAGCTGGATACATTACTTGTTCAGTCTGCATGTATGTGTTCCTTCTACCATGAAAAATGCTTCTCTTTTAAAGTCGAAGTTGCTCAACGCCGCAAATTAGCTTTGTGATGTCGGATCTTTCAAACGCACTCGCGCACTCGAAACGAGCCTCCCCTCATCAGTCATCTTCAGAACAACGAGGAACAGCAGCATCTGACAAGAAGGCAACACCAAACCGTTTGCATCAAATCACAGCGGCATGGCCTCACACAGGGGTGGTTCGGTCTAAAGACTCACGACGGCTTTGCTGGAGGTCCTTCTGTTTGGCAAAGCACTCTCCGAGCATGGAAGACACTTTTTTTTGCTCGGAGGAATTCTTTGGCAGGGTGCCAGGTTCAGTTAAGAACAATCCGTATTTCAAGGATCATACAGCAAGTTGCACCCTCAAATTAGGAGGAAGCCATGTGCATCCCCTAGACTTGGCAGCTCCTATACTTGGTGCCCCCAACCGTCCCCTTAGCTTTTCAGGCTTTGAGGGTTTAGTGCTAGTCTCCATTTAACCCACTAAAAGTGCTTCAACTTTTGGCAGGAAATCTGAGGGCAGCCCAGTATAGAAGAACTTCCTGGACGGAGCTTCGGCTTGGCACACGTGTCAGGCTGTGGCTATGACCTTGGCTTTGTGCACCCAGTGCTCCTGGGAAGATCTCAGAGGGACGCCCCAACGTCCCTTTCGCAGACACGCAACTTTGCCCGTTGCTCTTATGTACATAATCCGTATATATATATATACATATACTAATATACGTGTCCTGTTTTACATAAAAGTATATATATATATATGCATGCACACTTTAGCTACAATGTGTTTGTTTTGCTTGTTGCAATGTACACATGGAGAGAGTCGTATGGTTGCCAGAAGGTGCCCTCCTGCACCTATAGCACGGTTTGGGTCCAGTGATTAGTGTTGCGCGACGTGTCAGAGACCTACCAGAGTGAGGGTTCGCCATTTCTAGCACAATGCGGTATGCCGCCCACATGGGTCAAGTTGTGTTTTCGGGTTCATCTATTTACCAATTGGTCCCATTTAGGCCACTCCCATTTCAATCTAATCTCAGGTGTCCCGCAGAAGATCTGAGAGCGATCCTTTGAGCATGTTTTTTGCGGAAAGCCTCCTTGGCCATGTCTGATTGGCAACGAGATACTGGTTTCCTTGGAACTGCCCGAGAAGTTTCTATCCCGTACTGCCAGGTGGCGCTTGGGTTTGGGCTGACTGGGGGGTGTGCAAGGCCTGCGCCAGAAACTCACTTGCTTTGGCTGTTTATTCCAGTTTGGGCTATATGTTCATTTGGCTGTGGGTCAAAGCCAATGGGATCCCATTTTGGGGTAGGTGAATTCACCACCCATTTTAGAACCTATTTTAGGTGCACCACCCATTTTAGGACCTATTTTAGCGGTTGGATTGGGATGTTCACTGGGGGTACGAGATTTTGACCCATGGCCAGGGGGTAACCACAAAGCAACACGCTTGGGCCGTGCCATACCCGTACCGAACGGCTGGCAGTTGGGATCCGCTGCATCTCGGGCGACTTTGGGGGATCTCCAAAAAAATCCCTGGTCCAAGTTCTCCAAAAGTGCCTTTGCCCCAGAAGTGAATGTCGGAAATGGGGGGTTTTAGCTGCCAGTTTCTGTGACACAGAATGGACTCTCAAGTGATGCCGGGATGGTCCACGTCGGCAAACCCGAGTGGCTCGCAGCTGGTCGGATTTACGAAGAACGGCGCCGCGTTTTTTTTCCCCAACGGAAGCTCGGGGGCCGGATCGGAGCGTGCCATTTGGGGTTGGCGAGTTGAGAGGAGCCTGGGGGGATTCGAATGAGACCCATCCGCCTGTTCTGCTTCTGTGTCAAGATTGGGAACCTTTGTTTTTGTGTTTGTCGATGTCCTTTTGGTTTCCCCTTTCTTTCCCAACCCCCAAATGGGTGTGGCTCAAAATTAAACCTTCCAAAATTACACGGGTTTGAGGCCACCTTTCAAATTTACCAAGGTTACATTTTGGATCCCCATGTTTGAGCCACAGCCACATGAGCACAATCAACACCCGGGTAGATGAAGGTTGGTAAGGGAGCAAATCAGGTTACATTTTGAGCCAAAATCAAACATTGAGTCTCAAAGTGGTACAGCATGAGACCTAAAGTGGTACATGTTTGAGCCACAATAACATTTTTTTTAAGCCACACGCATCAAACATCAAACAAGTCAAACACATCAAACAAATCAAGCAAACCGAATCAAATCAAATCAGACACCCGGACTCGGACACGTTGTGCGAAGGTACACGGAGCTGAACTTGTCGCGCAACAGCTTGGGGGATCAAGGAGAGACCTGGCCTGGAGCCCCCAGCACCGAAAACGCTCAGTTTGTCAGGATATATACATCTGGGTGAATTATAACGACCTCACACGACCTCACCCCAAATGGTGGTTTATGTGGCAGAGGCAGAGAGAATACGATGTAGACATGTTTGTTTTGTTTATACACACTCATGTTATGCTACACTGTATATACATGTGTGTGTGTGTCAACATGTTTGAAAATAGAGGACCTCCCGAAATCGTAGATTGTCCCTTTGAATTCCCTTTAAACCCACCCTAAAACGGGACCCTCACAAAACGGACCCCGCAACTGGTTTGCCGTTCCGTTTTCCTTGAGGCCGGCCTGAAAAGGATACCCTCAAAAAGGCAGAAGCCCGTTTAAGTAGGTGGTTCCACCTGGTTTCATGTCGCGGTATAGCAACGGCCCCGCAAATCAAGTCATATATCTACATTTGTCGAAGCTCACTTGTTTGCTGGTTCGGACTAGTGGGGTTGACCATCATTTCATCACAAAAAGCTGTGCCCCCTGTTTCGTGGTGTTCGGAAGAGGCATCCTTCGGATTTATGTGTTTGTGAGATTATGACATTATTTTAGACTAGTATGAGTATGTGTTCAGGTGATGTCGTTAAATCCTCGAAACCATTGGGAAGGTACCCATGGATTCCTGGGAACCCAAGACGGGCAGAGCGGTGTCTGAAAGCAATGAGGACACGAGCCTTGATAAAAAGACTTGCCCACAATCGAGGCCCTGGTAAGGGCTCCCCATAGTAGCGACTAGCAAGGACAATTAGCTCATAGAGTTCCTTTTCATTGTCATTTGTGGGGCTTCCCCTTTGGTAAAGGAGGCCTGACAACCATGGGACTTTTGCTTTCTGAGCGATTTTGGGCTATGCTAGAGTAGTGGTAGGATGAGCTAGCCTCTTACTGAGCGTTCCGAATTTTCTCCAGAACTCCGCGCGTTTACTGTGGTGTACTCATTGCACTCTCATATTTGCAACGGCGACCCGTGCGAATCCTGTTGTTCCATCCGCGTCCCAGCGGCTCTCTTTCGGCTCTGCATCTTTCAAGAGGGCGCGACGAGCCGTGCGTCCGAGCCCCGGTTCTCTCGACTCACTCGACAGGAAGCGACACCTGGTGGATTTGAGCCTGGAAATTGGCAGGTGCACCCTTCGACACAGGGGATGTGGATCTAGGGGAAGCAGGTCTTACGTGAGATAGAGTGAGCCTTTGTTGGAATTCTGCCAGTGCTTTAAACAACCAGATCAGGTGTCGAATGGGTCTCGGTGGAAGCGGGAGTCATTTCCGCGGCAGCCGCCAAACCGGAGGAGAGGAGTTGTGGCATCTGATGGCTTGATTGTTTTTCTCTGGTGTCCTAAGTTTTTATTAGTACCTTTGACTAGGGCACTTTTGGAGCTACTGGATGTGGCCAGGAATTTTACTGTTGGTGCAAGACCTTTGCAGAGTCCGTTGCCCCCAGATACAGCTGAATTTGCGGTAGGTGAAATGTTATGCTTCACCCAAAGGGATCTACAAGTGCAGGAACCTCCTTAGGGAAGTCCCCGTGAAGGAAACCTCCTTTGAGAGCTTCCCCGAGAAGAAAACCTCCCTTAAAAGCTTCCCCGAGAAGGATCCTTCCATTTGATGGATCTAACCCGCGTGCTTTACTCCAATGAAACATCAGCATGAATTGGCAGCTTCTCAAGCCAAGGCATCGAAGCCGACTTCATACGCCAATTCCAAGATCTTGGGCCTTTTTCCAGTTTCTTTTCCCATAGACTTTCATCCATACCTGGAGTCTCCACGACACTTTAAAATTGGGGTCATGACCCAAAATTAAGGGGTGATGACCCCGTTTTCTAGGGGTCATGGAGACTCCAGGTACGCGTGTTGTCAGCTTTCTTTCGCTGGGTTTGTAGGTCTTGGTCTTCTTTCTTGGGGTGGGGGGTTGCCATGACTGAGGTCTTGGCCATGGCGCGAACCAAGATGACCGCCCAGCCACTCGGCTGCTTGATGGTTATGGTCCAGCACGAGTTCCGGTGAAAAAACCTGGGGCCACGTTAACGGGCGTTGATTTTCGGATTCCCTTTGCCAAGCCAAAAAGGGTAGCCTCAAAGAAGACACATCCATCTAAAGTGAGTCTCCCTCGAGATGATGTAAGGAGATGTGGAGGGAATGGGCCAAGAGCGTTTCCTTATCCAGATTCACCAGTGGGTATATGTTCCAGTCCCCAGGCCACCAACCCCAAGGGCCCCCGCCGCCCGGCCCGACTACCCAGATCCCCGGATCCCCGCTGCTACAGTCCCATCGAAGCTCCTCCTTGAGCCCCTGAACTCGCACCCTTGCATTCCGACACGGACAACTCAACCCACAACCCCCAACCCTAAACCAATCAATCCTGCGGCCCTAACCCTGAACCCTAACCCCCAAACCAAACCCACCCTAAACCCACCGTGAACCAACCCTAAACCAACCCACCCAACCACCCAACCACCCAACCCCCCCGCACCCCACCCCCACAGGGGGGGGGGTTGGTTGGTGGGGGAGAGGCGGGCGGGCGCGTCCACGGCCTGGAACATGCGGTGGATATGTGGACCAACCCTCGGAACAGTGGAAGCAGCCTTCCCACTAGGACTTTTCGTTTCTTTTGTCCTGGTGGATTTGCTGGCTTGGCATGTCAACTTCCAACCCCATGGAGGTCTTCGACTTTCAGATGGTCCATTGCACCCAACGGCACCAGATTTTCTCCTGGGTTTATCTTTTGGTTTGGATGTCCTTTTAGGATGGCCTAAATTATTACTTAATAGAAACCACGTTGAATTTGGCCTCTTTTGGTTTAGATGGCCTTGTTCCCCTGGCCTTCTTCTCACTCCCATGGTTTCTAGGCGGTCGCCCAGGAGGAACATGATTTTTCAAGCGCCAACCAGTCCAAAAAGCCGATGGCGATGTAGATGGGGTACATGGCAAACTAGGTCCCCCATTAGTGCCCTTTTACCCTTTTTGGGGGGAGGGTTCCTCTACCAAAATAGACTACATAAAAAAAGGGTACCCTTATTCTAATCTCTCTACTGGAGGACCTAGCAAACCTTCTTGGATTAGATATGCAAATGGTTTTACATTGACAGAACATGAATCCATGAACATAAGAGGCGAACAAGCTATTGGTGAAACATCAGCTCCAAAGATGACTCTAGACTTCTCCAGGAACTCTCAACCCTCCTGTATTGTTCCACCAGGGTCACAGTTGCGACAAAACATTTTTCCTGCAGTCTCTGGCTCATTTGATTAAAGAAGGAACATGGGACTGGTAAAAAATATTTGGGTGACAAGCCCGAAGAGTCCATTGGCCGTGGCTCAACTGGAGATGTTCAATTTCTTTCCCACACTCCCGCCCTACTCGATCCTTTGATAAGAAGAAGGTTGGAATGGTGCCATCTAATCTCATTGCATAAATTTCACGTTTGTTTAACGAGTCTCACCCATTTGAGTTTCATGTTTGTGTCAGATCCTGTGAGGTCTTGTTCTCTCGGGGCAAGCGTCAAGTGGGGGTGGCCATTGCGGAAAACCACTCCAAAAATGATATGTCCCAATGGGAACAATGTCCCATGGTCATTGGGGGTCAGGAATCTTGATCAATATCCAGGGCCAACTGACGGCGTAACCCTTGCTGAACTAAGCTCGTCCCTACCAAATCCGAGATCAGCGCCCCAAGTGAGCCACAATCAAAACCCGGGTAGATGAAGGTGAGTAACGGACAATCCCAGCCATAAATAGTTGCGGCCGTTGTGTTTCCTTTCATGGTTCTGGGTCAACCATTTCAAAACCGGATTTTGATTGTGACCCAAGTGGACCCGAAACAAATATGTACATATATGTATGTATTTATATATATATATATAGATATAAACAAAAAAAACTCCCGCTCCCCGCCTTCGGTGGGCCCGATCGACTTCCTCGAGTCCCAGGAAGTCGGCCGGCGGCAAGGCGCCGCGGGAGGACCTGGCCGCCAAGGCTGCACGCAAGCAGGCGGAGCTCAGAGAGCTCTGAGGGATGTGGCGGGTCAAAACCCCAAAATTCCGTAGCCCCAGGGAATCAACATCCGATGAACATCCAACCACCCAAATAGGTAGCCGAAAATGGGTGGTGAGTTCACTTATCCCAAAATGGCATCCCATTGATTGTGACATCCACAGCCATGCGTCAAACAAAGCTGGTTCTCCTGGTGGTTTCCAGCTCGGTCCCCCAGTGCCAACTTTTACCGTTTCTTTTTTGGGGGAGGGTTTCCCTACCAAAATAGACTACAGAGAAAAGGGTACCCGTATTCTAACCTCCCTACTGGAGGACTAGTCAGAGACACGAGGGATGTGGCAAACGAAGCTGGGTCTCCCCAGTGGTTTCCAGCAAAACCAAGGTGATCACGGTTAAACCTTGTGGTTAAAACCTGTTGCTTTGCCTTGGAAGCCAAGGTGCAAGGGAACTTATCCTCAAAAACGGCACACACTCACTTGAGGTGTTTTCTGAGGACCGAAGACCCATCTAGCTCCTTCATCTGGGATCTATGAATGTGTCAGGTTTTGGAAGTAGAACTTGCGAACTGCGGTAAATTCCTACCCACTTTGAGCTCAACATGTGGAAAAATAAAATGAAGAAGAAGCCACGAAAACAAAGGTTTCTTCTTGGTATCTTGAGGATGTACGGGGAGAAATGCAAAACAAGGGATCATTTGGTGTATTACCAGGTGCTTGGACTCTGAAGCTTCCAAACGGGGATCCAAGAGTGTCTTGGGGCCATATTCGGGACCCTTTGCAAATCAAAGTAGCCTTTCGGCCCCTTACCTCACTACCAGAGGACACTCTGGGGAACCAAGACGCAGGGACTCGTAGACTTTGGACTGACTCGCCATTTGCAATCCCCACTTCCCGCAAGCATTGCGCCCAGTCCCCGCTTCCACTCGTTTCCCCACGCGGTTCTTTCGTGTTCTTCGGCGTCTGGGCCGGTCCACGGA